CAACTGCTGTGGTCAGTGGGAGTACAGGGGTCAGTCTAGGAACAGTCTCTCTTAGTCATGACTCCTCCTCCTCCTTTTCCTCCTCCTTCATTGCACTCGTAAGTGTTTAGGGACCCTGGACATTCCTTAAGGCTGATGCCATCTCAGGAAACCACTCTTTGGGCAAACATTGAGTTTTTCTAGGAGACACCGTCACATTTTTTCTCTTGAAAGAAGCTCCTGTAATGTAATGACTGAGGTCAGCATTTGTAAGCTACAAAGTACCTCAAGGTTTTTGCTCCTTACAGTGTAACTTCACACTCAGACAGGAACCAACTGCAGCACTTGGTTTAAAGGAGGGAAATAAACAATGGCTCTGTTATTAGGTAGCTGTTTTCCCATAAAACCCCAGGACAAAGGTTACCATTCCTTTCTGACTTAGGGCTCTTCCAAGGTATGTGATCCTAACTACGTTTGGTGACCCTGTGCCTGACCAACTGGCTTTACAGCCCACTGTAGCTGCCTGACAGACCACCCGCAGACACTCCTTCTTCATTGAACCCTGGTAGAAACACAGCGCTTATGGACATCCTCTTTTACAAGGATGGTTTAAGTGTTTGAAGTACCATATGCAATACATACAGCCAGTACAAACAAAATAGCAGAAACTTGGTCTAGAGCTACATAATAAGTTAATAAGCGAATAATCTTAGCTTGATTTTTGCTGCTTTAAGTTGACTTTTTTTCTACATATAGTTGAGTGTATCTCAATTGTTTGTAGTACAGAAAAACAAGACAAACATAACAACATAAAGAAGGAGGGCAGCTATTCTACTGAGAATTATTTAAATTGATTCTGTTGCTTATATCGAGTAAATTCCAGCATACTTGGCCCTGAACTTAAATATTTTATGTTCTTCAATTTTTCCATATATAAGTTTTGGACACATTATTCTTTATTTTCTGACATGGGACTGTCCTTGTGGTTGCTAGTCATATAAACAAAACATGTCTAATTTCTTTTTCAATTAAAACAAAACTCTTTTTTTCATAGCTTTTGTAATTTAAAGACAGTTTGCTCCTCTTCAAATATTGTTTAACAGCTAAAAACTGAATTTACTGAATGACTTACGTGAATGACCTACTACCACAAAGTAGAGTCAGCCTCAAAAAATAACCTTTTTTTCATGGTAAATATGGAGTGTATGGTGAATCCTCTGCTGCCTTTTTCAGTTTTGTTTCCCGTAAACAATTTTTTGTGGACTAAATTTCAAAGACAGTTAAAAAAAAGTATAAAAATAGTATTTGTAGAATATTACAGACTTATGTAGACATATATTTTTTATGTGAGCTTTTTTAAGTGGCTAAAATCCTGTTTTCTGTGAGACCAATAAGCCTCATCTCGGTCTGGTTTACAGTACCTCAACAATTCCTTGAGTCTCTCATGGCTCAAAAATAGGCTGTGTTTGATGGACTCCATTTTTCATTTGCAATATTCCCTGTCATTACTATCAGTCTACTTCTCATGTATACTATTCAAGAAGTAATCTGAGAAGTCTTTGGAGAGGCATCTGGCATACATTCTCCCAGTATTTCCCCTCCTGTAGAAGAAAGCCCATTTTCTCAGCTCATTGATTTAAAGTTATAACCATTAATGTGTTTCACTTTATCTAAGATTACTGGTTAACAAGTGTGATAATTCACTAGGTTTTTTTCCCCTTCAAGTTTCTGGATGTGGGTATTGCGTAACCAAAACCATGGTTGCATGGTCAGACAGAACCCTGTTGTGATGAATGCTGTCAACCAACTCCCCACGGGCTCTGAAATCTCCTCTCTTTTAGAATGTAAATGCAGTAAAAATGGAGGAACAATTCCAGACATTCATCTCACCTGTTTGGGCCTCTCCATATAACCTAACACGTCGAAACACAGAACTCAGTGTTTCTGTATATATATAATATATGAAATGAAAAGTCGTATCTGTGTCCACTGGAATTCTTACAGCATTGCTACAATACATTATCAATCCAGTGGGAGTGGTGGGCCATGAAAACCTATACAATATCCACACACAAATCCCACAGTTTGAGTTGACCTGTCACTGATGAAGATGAAATCCACTAATGACAGTTATCTTCCTTTCTTAAGGCTAAAAATGGATATATGAAACCATGTGCTGACATCAGATGTAACGACTATATCCAGTCCTGAGTATCCAGTCCTGTTAACTACCTAGGTTTAGCACCTCGTCTGTAAAACCCAGGTGGTGTTGACGTGTTCTCTTGTCTGTGTCTCAGAGTATGACAGTGCAGGTGGAGGACGTGAGGATCAGAGCCACCTACTCCCACAGAAAAAGAATTCCTATCACTGAGGGGTTCTTGGAGGTGAAAGACGGAGGCAAGTGGAGGCAGATATGTGACATAGAGTGGACAGCCATGAACAGCAAGGTCATCTGTGGCATGTACGGCTTCCCCGGGGAGAAACGCATCAATATTCGACCCTATAAGTGAGTAATGGGGCCAGAGCAAGTAGGTGAGACCGATTAAATTTAATGACAGTCTTAACATGACCTTAAGGCTCAGCGTAAACATTCAGCAATAAGTTGAGATAATTACAATTCAGGTAAGGGGACTGTTATAGGCTTACATGCTTAATAAAACATTTTTTACATTCACACCCACGTTCACCACAGCAAAACACACAACACACCCTTTAAAAAAACGCCACGATGTTAAAAAATACTACAGTTTTTTAGGTGCTTTTAGGATTTTTAGTGGTCTTTTTCGGAACGTTTTACCAGACCAGACTTGTGTGAGGAACGATTGCATAAGTGAGCTATTTACACAGGTCAACAGTCATTCCCTGGTTTGTTTTCCACACTGAGGATAAACAGACATTTGTCTGGAGATTCTTGACAAGAAGCCCAACTCTGTCACAGGAAGTCTTTGAGGAAGAAGGCTGGGCCTTGGTGGGAAACTACGGAGAGCAGAGCACTTTGAACAGTGGCTTTGATCAGGGGTTTTTGGAGGTGGCCTTTAGAGATTATTCGATTCAAATTACTGATCATCAGTGTTCATAGTCATAAACATTTTATTACTTCCTGAGGCAGAAATACATCATGCTAAATGGGCCCTAAAGGAAGAATTATGAAAAACCAAACAAGCCTGAAAACCTTCTTTTACGTGACCCTGACTTCAATGTGTCCATTTTAGATAATACTATCAATAAAGGTACTACAACTACATGGCTATCTTTGGGAGGCACTGCTGAAGTACTTCTCTGGGCCCTTGGCAAGTAATATCAGAATTTAATCATGTTTGAATTTATAAATTTAGGGGATTCCAATGCAGTGTTGGTGTCAGGTGTGTCCGTCTTTGGCAGGTGCTTGTGTCCTGATGTGCAAAAAGCTTCGACACACACAGAAATGTAAAGAATGTCTGAAGATTAATCACTTCACAGATCAAGGACCGTATTGTATAAACAGGTGCTCAGATTCAGTGGCATGGCATCCACTTCCACTAACATTCCTGGTTTCTATGTGGACAAATTAGATTCTTATTTATATATGTTATTCTATTTATATTATATCCTGTATTTCACTTCTCAAGGCACTTGACATGTTGACATTGGAAGCTATGTACTGTATGTGTGAGCCAAAGGTTCATACTGAGTACAGTCCAGTCTCTTATACAGTTTGCTGAGCTGAATGCACCACCTCCTCCATGGAACCCTGAGCATCCTGGCCTATCCATCTGAAAGATTTTCTGCATTTTACTACATTTGTTAATCGTCACACTCTGTGAGTAGATTGAAGACGACACTTACTATTTTAAAGAATACAATACATACAATATGAATTATCTGCTGACATCACAACTGAAGTTCAAAATCAGTCATTCATTCTTCAGTCTCATGTGTAGATAATTGCAGAAGCACGTTTCTCCCTGCTGATTCTCCTAGAGAAAGTCAGCAGAGAGAAACTTGGGTTGTCATTGTTTAACTATTGTCAGACCAAGACCAGCAAATATCTGTCATCTGTTTCCTTAAAACACATTGTCATGCTGCTCTGTTGAAATACCAAAAGCTGCCTTTGGAAATGAATATCTAAGCTTTGTTAAGATCAAAGCAAGGAGGAATGAAATTTTATTTTTAAATATTTCTTCATAGTCTCTCTATTTGATTATCTTACAGCCCTAGTACAGAACTAATAGAGAGTGATCTAATCTAATCCGCAACTTTTAGTCTGTCTGTATGTCACCATAAAGCAGGTTTAAACAACAACAAGTTTTGTGTTCATTACTAAGGCTGAAAAAGCGTGATGTTTTTAGGGCTGTTGTGATGCTGCTGTTGTCTGTGTGGATCAAAGTAAAGGTACAAAAATACAGTCTTTCACTTGATCCTTTGTCTGGAACAACAAAGCTTTGTTGTTTTCCACAAACACGCCCATAACAGAGCGGTGAAATTTAATACTTTCAGTCAAATCTGTCATTTCTCCAGTGTCACAGACCACAAATTAGGCGTGTGTTTAAAACGAACGAGGAGCTGCGTTCTCTTCACAGCATCTGGAGAAACTGTGTGAACTGAAAAAGCTGTAAAACTATCTCATGCTGGTTTCATTACATGGTCGACTTCTTCCAAGGCTCGGGTATGTTCAAGATCCACTCTTATGGACCATGAAGGTCAGAGGAATGGGAATAGAACGGTATTTTCCACAACAATGTGTCCATTGTGTTTCTGAAGTATAGAAAGGACTTTGATGTATCCCACATATGAATAAATGAAATTAAACTGTGACATGGAAGAAAGAACCATGAAAATATCAATATCAATATCTTTATCACACAAAATCAATGCAGACAACAGTTGTTGTAGGACTCGTTCCTGTGTCCATGCAATAGGGATGGTTACATCATCACTAACGATGAGCCTCCATTTTGATTCAGCTTATTTTGTAAGTTGATGAGTAAGTACTGAGTGTCTGAGATTTGCACTCATGTTTGAAGGCTTTTCAAAACACTCTTCAAGGCAACTCTTCCATCAGTGGCAGGAGCTAAAATAACAAAGACTGAATAAATACTGACACTGGGATTGGGTCTGTTGCAGTGGTTGGATCTCACAGTGCAGGTTGTGGCATGACACATACCAAATGGATGGAAAGAATGTTATCATTATTAACTTTTTTTTTCAAAACTCTGATTTAAAACCCCAATTTCCAGAAAAGTTGCACTGAAGTGAATGTTACAGGTTTGTCAATGTTAGGTATAAAAGGAACATCCAACAAAGACTCAGACGTCTTTACGAGCAAGGTTAAGATTAAAGACTGATCTTCCCGCTGTAAAGACAGTGTGGTTTTAAAGAAATCACCAGTGACAGGTGTCCTAATGAGATTATAAAATACAAATGCACAGGTGATACACATTGTTTTTTACACACGCTGCAGTTCTTAAAATACCATCTCATCAAGTTGAGGCACAAGCTATTTCTGACAAATCATGATTAATCACAATTAATCCACAGCTATCTTGTGCTTAGTCTAATAAAAGATTATCACTGATTGACAGCCCTAGTTGTAAATAAAGGTTTAGGTCAACTATTCTTCATCAGATTCAGTATTCCATTTTACTTTTAGAATGTGCACCAACACTTCTAAAGAATATTGTTTGTATGCCAAAAAATGACCACAGATAACGTAGTAGGATATATGTGTTGCATTCTCAATTAATTTGCTGATTTTTTTTTTTTAAAGGTTGCTGGCCAAACGTCGTAAGAAGAACTACTGGGGTTCCTCTGTCAACTGCACAGGAAACGAGGCCCACGTGTCTGACTGTAAACTGGGCAGGGAGATAGAGCTGAAAGGAAACAGCACATGTGGAAAAGGCATGCCTGTGGTGGTCAGTTGTGTGCCGGGTCGTGCCTTTGCCCCCAGCATCAGCGCCGGCTTCAGGAAGGCCTACAGAGTGGAGGTACTGTGGATCAGACAGAATGTGCTTAGTGGGACTGTGGGGTCGGTGGACAGAGTTCTGGTGTCGTAATGGGAAAGGAAACTCTCTGAGTTCTGCCAGTTTTCTAAACCCACACTCTGGCCTCGGGTCAGCTTTGTTTCTTTTATAGCTTCATTATGTTCAGTAAAATAAAAACTCAACTGAGATCCAGATGTAAAATAAACTAAACATGCTTTTAGTTTTTTAACAACAACAATATAAAAATGTTGCTGCATCCCTTCTCTCGCAGTGATGACAAACTTAATATCACTTAGTGAATAATCAGTGGAAGCAAAATGTTTCTAATTGACTGTTACAGTGACTTTATTGCAGGAATGTGAAATCGTTTGAAAGGCAGAATGCTGGACATCTGTCAAATATATAAAGTGTTTATTTTAGTCATCAACAAGGCAGTTTTACAGATGCAGTATCCACAGTTCTATTGTCAACTGTTAGCCTGTGGGTCGGATCCAAAAACTACTGTAAACTATTTAATTTTAAAGGCACAGTGTGTAATATTTAGAGACAACTACTGATAAATGTATAATTATATTTTATACTACCTCATCTGTCATATATTATTCTTCTAAAGATTTCATTGCTGATTTCTTTGTGAACTGTTTGAATAGCAACCCCTGGTGCGCCTCAGAGGCGGAGCTATGATTGGCGAGGGCAGAGTGGAGGTTCTGAAAAACGGCGAGTGGGGAACGGTGTGCGACGACAACTGGAACATTCAGGCTGCCACTGTGGTCTGTCGAGAGCTGGGTTTCGGCAGCGCCAAAGAAGCTCTGACTGGAGGTCGAATGGGTCAAGGTAAAATCTACGGCTTGTTATAGAACTAATGCTTCCTCATCTACACAGAAATTCCTTTTCTTTTGCTTAAGTAAAAGAAAAAGGTTTCAGCTTCACAATCAACTGGCTGCATCCTAAAAGTATAAGTGAGGTTTTGCTAACCCGTTAAAAAGCCATTAAAAAAACATCAACCAATAAACTCCAATAATCCCAACAGAAAGTAATGTGTTATCCTTGGATTTTTCCAGACAATTTTTTAGACACATTCTCCAATCTATACCAGGGCCACATACAGAGACAACAAAGTGTTCACACATATCAACAGTCAATTTTGAATATGAATTTACCCTCAATATGCATGTTTTTGGAATTATTATTATAATCAGTCATTCAGTGTAACTTAAACGCTTGTGTGTTTGAGTGTGTTTATGTGTCAGTACGATAACCTTGTATTGTTATTCTGTGTTATTCTGTAACACCAACACACAACCCTTCCATACAGTTCGATACATATTTACTGAAACCCAACCTAAGCAGTATCAGTTGCTTGGTTTGTAAAGAATTGTATCACAGCAGAACCCAAATGCACTCAGGAGTCAAAACTCAAACCAGCAAGGTTCCAACCTTAACTGAACTGAGTAATAACCTCCAGAACACCAGCCAGGTGGGAACAGAAATGAAGAAAACACTAGGAAAAACAAGACACGAAGCACTAGGGAAAAAAACAGGAATTCTGCAATTCAAATTGAAATTGGAAATTAAAAATAAATCTGCTGTTGTTCAAGAACCAAAGTAGATCATATGGTAGAGTTGAGTTATCATAGCAGAAAAAAAGTTTATCTATTTCAAATGTCACGTCAACATCCATGACAACATGTAAAGAAAACATTGCATAAGAATAATTCTGAGATAATGAAACGACAACCTTACTTTTCATGACATTTTCACATGTATTAAATATAAATTCATTTCCCAGACAAAGGTGTGGACTGAAACCAAATCCCTTTAACTCCAGCTCCTCTGGCCTCTGTATCAGCACTCGTCTGTGTCTGACTTTGGTCTAGACCAGACATCAGCACATATTCACTACTATATGAAAGGCCAGGAAATGTATTTGTGCTGAAATGTCCACACCTTCACTTTACAACCCTGATTGTGTGAAATGTAATATAGCTCTGTATTATAAGAAGCATATGTCAACTGGAATAAGTTGGTCTTCATCTGTGTTCTCTTCATCTTTGTTCTCCCACCAAAACACCGGAGCGCACAAAATGTTCCAGGCAAGACACGTTTTATGGTTTTCAGGGGAGGAATTCTGTGTTGGACAGTCCACAAGGTCGTTGGAAGTAGCAGTTGTTTTTTTTTTTAAAGTGCAGAACACTCTCTCCAAAATGGTACCACACATTCAGACTGGGTCTATATGGGCTCAGTGAACTGTGTAAGGTTTTCTATTGTTGCTCTGATTTCCTGCTACAATTCAAAAACATGCAAAAAAACAAAAGTAAATTGAAAAAAGTTAAACAGATATGAGTGCGATTTGATTGGCTACTTGTCTCCATACGTGGCTCTGTGATGGTCCATTTTAATGTTTTCATTTTTAATGTACATTGAAGGTAACCTGACACATCACTTTTCCTTCACATGGATATCAAATAACCATCATATCCACGTTTATCTATTGCATCTGTCAAACTGTCAATTTTATTTTATTTTTTTCCATTTGTGATTTTTTTTTTCTCAGCAGCTGTTGCCAGTCTGTCTCTGTCTTAAACTGACCTCTGGAGACAAATTTGTTTTGTCCCATGGCAAGAACGGAGCAACATTCTTTGCACAGAGTACTCACACATGTTATTGTGGAAACACTGTTTCACTCAAATTTCTTTTTCTTATAAAAAAGAGAGAACATTTAATGACAGGCCTCAAGTGCCTCATCTTATTTTGACATCACTGACTGTTTATTTCCTTTGCTGTTTGTGTCTAGGAAACGAGATGAGTTTGAACATCTGCCCGTGAACAGAATTGTCCAAACAAAACAAAATTCCATATTTGTTTGTTCCTCTCATATAAACGCACATTTATTAAGATATAGAAACTTTGAATTTAATTGTCAACTGTTGCTAAACAATAGATGACATATTTAGATTTGGAAAATAACAAATATCCGTTACAAAAAAAAATGCAATCGCCAGGCACATTTTAGCTGTTAATTACAACGTAACAGACAGGCTGTAATAAAAATTATCACCTGCTGATCTGAATGGTAGAAAAATGTCATGATAATTTTTTCACACACAAAACAACTAAACTATTTGGTTCGGATCTAAAACTCTAATCCCATGCAAAATAAAATTTTTATTTAGACATATTAACTTACAAGTTAACTACATCTTCTGTTTTCTTTTTTCTTTCTTCTTTCTGGTGTCCAAAGTCTTGCAGAAACAGTATTAATATATAATTTTTTGGATGATTTCTAAAAAACTCTACGCTGTGATTTATGAAAACTCTAAGCTGTTTTACTTTTCTGTCGTGGTCACAGTGTAGAGTTTTATTAGACAAACACTGCAGGTGTTTCATGGGAGTATTTACCTACAGGGATCGGGCCGGTGCATATGAACGAGGTGCAGTGCTCTGGCTTTGAGAAGTCACTGACTGAGTGTCACTTCAACCGCGAGTCAGTGGGCTGCAGCCACGAGGAAGATGCTGCCGTCAAGTGTAACGTTCCCGCCATGGGTTTCAACAGCAGAGTAAGTTTCTCCTTCTGCCATTTTAAAAGTTATACTGTATGAAACTACAGATGTTTTATTAGCACTGCCTCTGTCCACAGCTGCGCTTAAGCGGTGGTCGTAACCCTTATGAAGGCCGTGTGGAGGTTCTGGCAGAGAGGAACGGCTCTTTGGTCTGGGGCAGTGTGTGCAGTGACAGCTGGGGAACCATGGAGGCCATGGTTGTGTGTCGGCAGCTGGGCCTGGGATTTGCCAGCCAAGCCTTTCAGGTAACATCCAGCTTTGTGGATGTCAAATTATTTATGTCATTTTTGTGACAATTTTTTTGAAAGATTACATATTTCACTTTATATCCTATATTTACCCCAAAAAAGCTTTACTGACCCCAGAGGAAAGGGTGAAAACAGTCTTTGCCTGTCAGCATAAAACGCAGGTCACTTATACAAAATGACATTTGAAGCCTGTGTAAAGATCAGTAAAAACACAATCTTTAGTTGTACAGTGGCTCAGTACAATATACACAAACCACACAAAAGTTCTTTTTTGTGCAAAAAACAAACCCTCCCTTGTTCTGATATAGTGTTAGGACAAAGGCTGAACAAAGGTGAAGAACCCTAACCCACGAGCCATTCCTGCATTAAGATTTAATGGGATTGAACACGTGTGTGACTCATGCGGACTCCTTGGTACCAGCACAGCGTTTATTAAATGTAACTAGAATTGTCTGGTGGAGGTTGTTTATTAAGTTGAACTCTGTTTGGGACAACCACAGCAAGCAAAGACTTGAAGAAGCAGCAGCATGTAAACATGTCACGGTGTGTTTAAGGTCATTGCTGGAGCATTTACAGAAAACTCTACACAATATACTGCATCGCTGAGCGTCCACTCATGATTATGAGTGCTTACTGTCACCACAAACCTCGAATTGCCATTATGTAATAGATGTGATGGTAGCAGGGACGTTATTAGTGATAAATTGTGAGGTTTTGTTATCATAGCTGAGTGAGGAGGAAACTCTTCCCCCCAGAGACGCTTTCCTGTCTGACTTCTAAACGCTTCTGCAGGCAAATCTCACCACCAGATGGAACAAATGACACAGAGCTTAGACTATACTGCTGTACGTCTGTCCGTCTCCTTCAACCCACCAGCAAGGTCTCCAACATCCATAACCCTGGTGCTCATTTGTGAATCCTACACTTTATTGTGAGAAGATGGAAACTATGACTTTCTTCAGTTTCCCAGTGGTTTGCAAAGCGCTAGTAGACGGTTGAGTCAGGACTGGGGAGAATACACACATCCAGCAACCCCCTTACTGTGTGTGTGTGTGTGTGTGTGTGTGTGTGTGTGTGTGTGTTTTATAGTCACGTTGTAGCACAACTGGGATCAGATATCCTTGAATTTTAAAGAAGAGGAAAATAAAGATAATCATTTGCTACAGAGCCAGTGACAACAATTTTCTTTTCCAAAACAGTTTACACAGCAGTCCTCAGTCAACAGGACTGAACATTTACAAATGTTCTAGTGTGACACAGCTGTAAGGCCCAGCCCAGTATCATCTGAATGTAAAGAAGAGTTAAACAACATGTAAACTGTTGGGAAGAGGAAGCTTTATCTGTCACTGCACATCTAAACATCAATATGAACACTTGTCCTGTGCATTTAGCCCACCAGAGAACTTGGCACTTGCTCAACAAACCAGAGTAGATCCCAGGCTAGGATTTGTTCCGGCAAATATCAGATCACATACACTTTCCTCTCGTCAAAAGGCGACAACATTTTAGATTTATGGTGAAAAGAGTTTCAGAATCAGAATCTCAGCGGAATCAAGATGTGAGGGTGAATGAGTTTTTCATTTTTCAGAAACAGATGTTCTGGATCTTGACTGTGAAGGTATTTAGTCTTTTCAGGTAATTTCCATTTGTGTGAGTCACACTCTGGTTTCTCTACCAGCAAGCTCTAAGTAGTACATGTAGTACTATGAATATATTATCTCTAGAACCAACAACAACATAAACGTTTACCAGCCTTAGGTCAATATCCATCACAACTTGCTCCTATATGATAATATATATATATGTATATGTGTATATATATATATATATATACATATACATGTATGGTCAGACTTATAACATGAATTGAACGCAGAAAATGTAAATCCATTTTAATTATCTCTTTCTTGTATTGTCATTGTTCAGGAAACATGGTACTGGCATGGAGAGGCCTCTGCTGATGCTGTGGTTATGAGTGGTTTAAGATGTTCAGGCACGGAGTTGACTCTGGATCAGTGTCTGCATCATGGAAAACACATCCTGTGTCCTAAAGGAGGAGGACATTTTGCTGCTGGTGTCTCATGTACTCAAAGTAAGAGACACAATACACACTATAAACAGTTTAAGTTCAGTTCTTTGTTAAATTCAAGAACATAATTATAATAAATAAAAATGTAATGATTTACACATTTTCATGCAGGCCAGGAGTTCTAAATCAGCTGTTTGCCTGTTTTCCAGCTGCCCCAGACCTCGTCCTCAATGCTCAGGTTGTGGAGCAGACCACATACCTGGAGGACAGGCCAATGTACACGCTGCAGTGTGCACACGAGGAGAAATGTCTGTCCAAAACTGCTGACAAAGTGGACCCCACCACCTCCTACCGCCGTCTTCTTCGCTTCTCCTCCCAGATCCACAATAACGGTCTGTCAGACTTCAGGCCACGGGCTGCACACCATTCCTGGATTTGGCATGAATGTCACAGGTGAGAGACCAACAAGGCCAACCTGTCAAACTATCCCCAAAATCCCCTCAGGTTTGTACCAGTGCAGTAATCTGACACCTTTGAGTATTTGTTTCTCCTAGACATTACCACAGCATGGAGGTCTTCACCCACTATGACCTGCTGAGTCTCAACGGCACTAAAGTAGCTGAGGGACACAAAGCCAGCTTCTGTCTGGAGGACACCTACTGTGACGAGGGTAAACACACACATTGTTCTATCCCTAATTATTCTGCTACTGAAATACTGAACGACCTACAAACCTCCAATGGGGACGAGGGGCAACATTACAGAAGACAAATGAAAACAGAATATAATAGTTTGCAAATTATTTACAACTATATATATATATATTTAAATATAATACAGATATTATATTTAAATATTTAATATACAAATATTAAGTGTTCAAACTGATAAACTGAGCCTCCTTGTTGAATGTGTAAAAATTCCACTTTGAGAACTTTAACACTCTGTTCCTAGTCTTGTTAAAAAGAAATGTGATAAAACTAATGTGTTTATCAGTTTGAACATTAAATATTCATTACACATAATGCATCCATTTTAGTACAGATAAATAATTTGCAATCATTTACTGTGTTCCATTTTTAATGACATTTTACACTAATCCCACAACTACAACCGACACAACAACCATGTCAAAGGCCATTATTTGTGTTTTGGGGGTCCTGAACATGCATGTAATCCTTGTAATAAATTAAGGAGTGTGGCAGATCAACAAGGACCATTAAGATGCTGTACTAAAAAATCTTGGGTTCAAGTCCCAAACAGTCATCTGTTGCTGGGAGGTTTGTGTCAGGAAGTTCCAACTGTACTAAATCGACAATATCTGGGTTCAATTCTAGATGAAAGGTGTCCAGTATTTTCAAGGTTAACTCGTAAAGAGCGCATGCTCGCTGCCATCAGTGGCACCACGGTGTAGTCTGACTTTTTACTACTTTTACCATCTCAATCGGTCTGACAGGTATCCAGAAAAGGTACGAGTGCGCAAACTTTGGCGCACAGGGAATCACAGTTGGCTGCTGGGATACCTACAGACACGACATTGACTGCCAGTGGATTGACATCACGGACGTGAAGCCCGGGGACTACATCTTCCAGGTGAGGTCCCACACAGACACATCTGCTGTTGGAAACACCCTCTCATCTCCAGCCTGTTCACAGACACGAGAACCGGACAAAGACTTTCCATGTTTCTCAGCTGGTTATTGTTTGACACGAAGAAGATAAACTGTTGAATCTGAGCAGAGGTTTTCAAAGAGACAGAACTGTTTGATGTAAACTGTAGATGTATGAATCTGATGAGTGTGGTCCCCTCCCATGAGTTCTACAACTAAACATGATCAGAAGCATTTTCAAAATAAGACTCTTGGTTTATTAATTCTGTTTCAATATTTTAAAATGACCTGTTGTTTCTCTTCTGACAGGTTGTAATTAATCCAAATTACGAGGTTGCAGAATCGGACTATAGCAACAACATGATGAAATGCCGTTCGCGCTACGATGGACAAAGGATATGGACGTACAACTGTCGCATAGGTAAAACAATGAATTTTATTCAATGAAATGAATGAACTTTAGCCACAGTCCGGTACTTGGCTTTGTTATATTCATGTGCCAACCCTGTGGGGCCCACGTCCCACTTTAGTTTAATTACAGTTTTAAAAGACCAATGGGAACGGTTATGTTTTAAGGTTAGACAGAACAAACCACTGTCAGTTTAAAACACTTACATTAATGCAATAAGGGTTTTGTGTTGAGATGATTTCTGCTTTATGATGTGAAAAAAAAAAAAAAATAATAATTTAAACTACATGCGGATCAAGGTCCCATGCCAGACCATTCAGGATAAAGATTTCTACAAGCGTCAACCACCAGTAGCTGCAGTAACAGATGACCTGCCAGATCAGCTCCACACAAAAATACAGTGGACTGTGACAATCTGCCTGCTCAGCAGAAATTAGCAGCACAGCATCAGGGCAGGCTTTGTTTTTCCACAGTTCAGCAGTTTGACTTTGGTCTGCCTGTGACCACTGCAGCCTCACATTTATGTGAAGTTGGAGAGTCTGATGTGGTAACTAATGAATCCTGCCACTCATTGTGGGACGTTAATTCTGTTCACCACAGTAGTTAGTTAGTTATCTGTACTAACCGTAGCCTTCCTGTCAGCTCTCAACAGTCAATCTGCTCATTCTCCTTAGACACATGACAACAATGACTGCTCTGTTCACACAACATGTTTAATTTGGTCTGATTAAACATCTGACTTCTCATGTATGAGGCCACTAGTGGCTGGGAGAAAAAATTACATTTAAAGCAGGTGTACAGACGTCAATAATAAATACTTTAGTACAGCTGAGCCTTTTTTTACAACACTGACACCTACTGTATGAAATACTGAGTTACAACAATGCCGTTTTTGATACTTTTGTGAACTTGTGCTACTTTCAACCAAGATATGATAGATAAGGTGCTCAGTTAAATAGCAATTCTGCAGTTCTATCAAGTACTGTGTTATACAAAGCAGACCCCCTGTTGGAGATTTAATACTTCTACACGTTTCAATAACAGACCATTATGTTGGGCCGGACAAAGGACTTAATTTTAAGATTTTCTATTTTTGATATTCCCAATAATGATTATAAACTATTATTTAAATACTGTGATTAATAAAAAAAAATAAACATTTACTTATTATTAAAACTAATCCATTTCAGTCTGCAGTCACAACCTTAGTGGTGTCAAACTGCAGATTCAAACATACACATTTTATTGGCACAGAGAACAAACACATTCAACTGTTGTTTTTTTGTGCAAATTCACTTGGAAATATTAAATGGGACTGATGTCCTCAAACAAAAGCTTAGGCAGCCACATAATAAAACTCGTATTACATTGGCTCATAAGAAAAAAAAAAGATTTCTCCAAAATAAAACGATTTCACCACCAGACGGTGCTATGAACACTGTCTTAACTAGAGTTAATGGACGGCAAAACTGAACTTGAAGTGCCTTTCAAACATTCAAACCTATTACAAATTGATATTAAAAACTGTAATTGTTATATTCTCAGCAACATGTCATCACAAAGATGAATTTTGAAATCCAAGGTAAAAATGCCAACATTTGTTTTACACATTAATATTAAAATAAATTAAAAAACTGAACACTGTAGATCTTCTTGAACAATAATAAAGATATTTAAAAAAAAACTAAAGATCATAAAAGGCTTATTATACCACATTGACAGAAGCAGGAAACAGACCTTTCTTTGAGATGTTGAACTTTAAAACACATTTCCAAGTCAAGGAAACATGCTTATATATTCACTTCCCCACTTCCCTGTAGTTGTTTGAATACTGCAGTATACCATATTATTCATTATTACAAATACTACTATATCAAGTATCAGTAGCTATAGCCCATTCAGAGGGCTGCACCCTGGGCACTGGGGCAAAGTGCAACAGTGCACACTACACAGCAGATGTAAACTCAATCAACAGCTGCTCTTCTTATTTTAATGTAAAAATTTATTTTTTGTCAAATTAAAAAGTAACATTTAATGGACCCGTGTTTCTTGATATTACCCATTTAAATCAACATCAATACTTTTCACTTAATTCGTATGCAGAAGCATTAAATAACCTTTCACTAGGTGGAAGTAGATGGCTATACAAACTAAACAATAAAACAAAAATAAAAGTCAACATTGAAAGTCACTTAATGCTGAAGGTCCCTCAGCAGAGCAGCCGTGGATGACCTGTGGCAGAAGACAGTGACTTTTGTGGCCATTGTTGCCCATTGTCTTCAGCTTGAGAGTTCTGTAGAAAATATACCAAAAAAGGTAGTTAATGGCGTATATTTTTTAGAAATTGTCATCGAAAAAAAATGGGGGGGGGGGGGGGGGGGGGGGGGGGGGGGGGGGGGGGGGGGGGGGGGGGGGGGGGGGGGGGGGGGGGGGGGGGGGGCTAAACACGTTTAAATAAGAAAATAAGAAACATTCATGTTCTGTGCTTGGACTACATTAAATGTAATCATCACTCTCTCACTTCCCCGCCTTACAGGTGGTTCATTTAGTTCTGACGCAGACCACACGTTTCCTGGACTGCTGACCAACCAGCTTTCACACAGGTAGAGCCGACGTGGACAACACAGTGGAAGCAACGTGCCAATATTAATATTCGACAACCACTAGAGGGCGCTGTATACCTCCACTTCCTTGTAGCAGTGCTGGACAGACGTCAAACTCATCTGGTACAATGGACTAAAATGTATGACTCAATGGGAGAAAAGATCGCTTTGCTTCAAACTATTACTCGCATTCAGCTAAAATGCAAAATGTCCTTATCTATCAGTTTCTGTTGTCCGTCAAAGTAAGGTTTTAATTAAGTTCACCCTGGTGCTTAAACCTGTTGGAGATAACATGTAAACTACAAATGTTTGTTTTGTTCAACCTAATAGGAAAAAGTTTTATCAACCTTTACCATTTCTATCCCATGGCCGACACAGACAAAGAATAATCAGGACAGCAACAAACAAGATGAAGAATACTTGTAGGAAAATGCCGCAAAAAGTTGCAGAAGTAGTTTCTACTGCTTTAAAACAGCATCAAATATGGAAAAGTTCTGGACCATATGCTTACAAATATAACCAACATATTTAATAGTATTTTGACTCTGATCCAGGTTCGTCCACAGGTGTGCCATCCTTATAAATAGCTGCTGCCATTAATGTAGGGCTGAAGGTGCTGGAAAAGATAATAATAATAACATATCTGTGTCTGATCCAAAGGTGTTTTTTAACAGCAGTGTGTGAAGGAGGGTTCTTAAAAATGTTATTTTATGTGAATGAGACCTGGATCAGTTCCCGAGATTAGTTTAGATGAAGCATCACTTAATGTGTACCACTACACCTAGTAGTAATACTAGTACTAGGCATTTCCTTTCTAGACAAAAAAAACAAACAAACCAACACAATTATTGTCAGAAAGACTATTAACCTTGATATTGGACCGATGCTGCTGCTAAACCTCAGAACAATCACTTCACTCTATAGTTTTCCCCTAGAAAATCAGTTGACCAGGTTTTACAACTTACATCCTCTTGTCTCTTACTACATTAAATGATTAAATGCTTTCAGTAGAAGTCAGGGACCAGGTGTTGAACACAGCTATTATAGCCAAACTCTTAAAGGACAATAACACAACTGACAAAACAAAGAACATCTGTATATAACGTTCTATAACTAGTGACGACATGTAAACAAAAACATATAATATAATAAAGGTAAACAAAAACACCCTGGTGCTGAATTTAAAAGACGACAAACATAGCTCATGTAGTTTTTGTAACACTCTTTGTTTAAGTCTTTATCAGACTGAGATGGTCAGTGTTTGTTTTCAGGGTTTTATGATTGATATACTTGAGTTTACTTGTGAAAATGTCTTATTTATTGACAGATCTTTCTTCTTGGTTGTTACATAACTAATCTTCAAGAAATGCATGTCTCCTCATCTTATTCTACATTTTTGATAAATTATTACCATCAGGGACAATGATAAAGTTGTGGATGTACTGTCGGAGCCTCAATGGGTGTGAAAATGTTGTATAATTTACTTTTTTTTTTAACGTTGCAAACTCCCTTTGTTTTCAACAATTACTGTTATTTGCTGGCTGTTTGTTCAGATGTGTGTGTGTGTGTGTGTGTGAGAGAGAGCAAATGAATGTGGAAAAGCATTAAAAGTATTGAAATAAAAAAATAAGACTAACTTACATGATGCCTGATTCAAATAATTGTTAACATGCAGAGATGAAGTGATGGGACAGCCACAGGAATTACCCTCACTTTACACACACAATTACAACATAAAAAGGCAACAAATGCGCCAGGTTCATACAGAAACCGCAAAATAGCAGCACAGACAATACACAAACTTCTGGCAGAAAATATCTGCAACAGGCTCAGGATGACGGCACAACAACACAAATGGTTGCAAAACATTTTTGTCTGGTAAAAACTTTTAAGAGAAGAAAGACCACATTCCTCTAGAAATCTACGACCTAAGTCAGATTCTTCTAAAATCCTTAGGACTGAGCTACTACACACGCACAACTGCTCTCATATCATGAGGGCAAAATTAAACTCTATGTTTTGTCAACTGCATCAGAAAAACACTGTTGCACTAGCTTTTGTGCAACAAATATAAAAAATGATTTTCATCATCTCCTGAGATGATTTCAGTAACAGTAGTCTGCTCACCTCTACATTCCAACAGCATTGGTCACTCTCCTCAGAATCGCAGCGCTCTGCCTCGGCCCTGCAGCCCCAATGCTCTGGTCACCATCCGCCTGGCAACAGCAGAGTCTGTCCTGGGACGCTCCTTGACTGGCTGGATGAATTCTGGACCACAGCAGAGAAACAAAATTGGGTTTTTGGATGCAGAAGGATGCACAACTCTATTTGGCATTTCAGAAAACATTCATCATTCATTTAGATCAAATAAATAGTAGACGGTGAAAGCAACACATGAAAAAAATGATGCATTCAAAATAAAACAAAAGAGCAATGACAGGAGAATTAAAAAAAGGTTATACAAAGTCATCAAATATCCCATAATTATCTAGCTGGTACATTAGCAAATACAAGGTTCCAGAAACAAAGAACTTTGTTTACCTGCTCGTCTGACAGCTTTTCCTTTGGCCTTCTTGCTCCCTTCAGCCAGTGTTCGTGTCTTCAACAGTGGGTGGCTGATGGAAAGGGCGTTCAGTGCTGAAGGTACATGGACAATGCTTGATGTTAGCATATTTATAAATCAAATTCATCACTTGTTAGTCTTAACTAAAATACAAAGGTGTTCAACCTGCTGATTCACTGGAGAAAACTCCTAACGCATGTGTGTTGTCCACCCACTTGATCTTCATTCCACCATCACTATGGCACACAGCAGTGCAGTAATGGTTAGTGAGTATGTTCTTTTACTAGGTTAATGGCTTGTCTTAAATCAAATATTATCGGCAACATATATGTATACACTGGAAAACCTAAATATAGAAAAAACCATTACAACTAAAAGGTTGAATTGGCAGAACTGGGAGAGGAACTGATCTTTGCGCTCACACCTGAAGTCACTGAAAGCATCCAGTAGGTCTTCAGTTTTAAAAAAGGAAGGAAAATCGTAGATCTCTATCACATGACCAAAGTCGTCCGGGTTGATGGACACATTCTCATAAAGAGAGTAGTCCTTGTGGACGTGCTCAATGGAGAAGGACACCGTGTCTTTTAGGTGAGCCTTGATCTGAACAGAGAAAGAAAAATGTATCACTTAAATATAGCCTCAAGGGAAACAAAACAAAACAGAATGAGAGATGTGCAATACTAATGGAACACCACTTAAAATAAGGGCGGTCAAGACTAAAGTATGTTATTCTTTTTTATTTTCACTTCAGTTACACAATACTTTTAACAGTACATTGACTTGCCTAATACCTATTTATAGAGCTAATACTTAATATTATTATGCTATTGCTATACTTAATTGTTTGCTCTTTTTAGGGCACAGAAATGTTTTTTTTCTTTTAAAAAGACGTTCCGTTACGTTCGGTGTTATGTTCACCGTTAAGTGATGCTCAACCATGTTACGCTGGGTTATGGGTTGCGTTACGTTACTTCAAAATGAGCAGTAAGTCACTTACTTCTTCAGTGACCTCGTCCACATCTGTGTTCTTGTCTTCTGTCTGACAGCTATTAATGTATGGCACACTAACACAACCTTCTTCCTCGGTCACAGGATCCCCTAGCGTCATGTCAGAAAAGCCGGACACAGTCTGGTCCCAGACCACGTGTTTATCTTCATATTCTGCCGGCAACAACTTTTGTTTCCCTTTTGCAGAACAACAGACTGAAGTGTTTTCAGAATTTTCCACTACACTGGATAAAGATTCCTGTTCAGATTCTTGAATGTTTTTTGTAGTTTTATGGCAAAAAGCGTCAGCTGTATTGCTGCCACAGCTACAGTTACTAGGTGCAGAAATTGGCGACTCTTCACAAAGTGTAGGTCCTTTTAAATGTTGTTGTGACAGTCGCTCCCGAGCTGCTCGTGGCATGTAAAGAGGTTTATCCGGCCTCTTAGGTCCACGGCTCCGTGATGGAATTAAAGATTTAGGTTTAGTGACATAGTCAATCTGCTCCCTGGTTCGAAGAGAATCTTCACTCGTGGTGTTGTTGCTCTCCAGGTCGCTGTCTTCTTTGAGTTCATTCCTAAAAGCAACAATAAGCACATGTTCATTTTACCACAGTGAAAGAGTTGTTGAAAGTGTGAATGTTGTTTCAAATCTCAGCAATCATTTTTCATTACTAGGCCTTACTGGATAAGATTTTTGACACTGTTATGACAGATGGAATGTAAAAGGAGTGATATTTTTTTCTAAGTAGCAAGAAAACAAATCAGTTGTGCAGACATTTATAATGTCCACCACTGAAGTGAATATATAATAATATAGTTTAATAGAGAACTCAAACCTAAACTTGTAGAAAAGGAACAAAAAAAAATCAAACAAATCTAGAAAATGTGCGTCTGGAAACTTTGGAATACCAAAATAAAAATGAATGACTTGGCCTGAGCATCGGACAGTTCTGCACAGGAAGGGGCTGTAAAGTCAAGAAAAATCCTATTCCTGCCAAACAGACACCTCAAAGCCAGACTTTTGTCAGCCATAAACAATATTAAAAAGGATGACACATGCCTGAAGGATATCATTTCAGGAAATTATTGGCCATAAAGACATTGCCAGTGATTAAAGGAAGGGAAAGCATTCATTCCAACCAACTCTATGCGTATCATTAAAAAAAATAGCAGCCAATAGGAGACAAATACAAAAGGAAAAACATGTGCAACAATATTTTGAATACTATCAAGATAGTTTTAGTGAAATCTCATTGACAGCTTATATCCTCTTATGCTAAATTAACAAAAGATTACCTTAATTACCTTTCATCAGCTATGTTGTATGATTTATGTATATTATGTTTATATTTATGCATGTATATTATATATATATTATATTTATGTATATTATATGTATATTGCATGATTTATGTAACAGCCATGATGTATGGTTTAGAGACAGTAGCAAAAGGCAGAAGACAGGAGGCGGAGCTGGAGGTGGCAGAGTTAAAGATGCTAAGATTCTCTTTAGGAGTGACAAGAATGGACAGGATCAGGAATGAAGTCATTAGAGGGACAACACAGACAGGAAGGGTTGGAGAAAAAGCTAGAGAAGCCAGATTGAGGGGGTTTGGACATGTGCAGAGGAGGGACAGTGGATACATTGGTAGAAGAATGTTGGAGATGGAGCTACCAGGTAGGAGAAAGAGAGGAGATATATGGATGCAGTGAGGGAGGACATGCAGGTAGTTGGAGTGAGAGTAGAAAATGCAGAGAACAGGGAGAGATGGAAATCAATGATTCGCTGTGGCAACCCCTGAAAAAGGGACAAAGCCGAAAGAAAATGAAAAAGAAGAAAAAAATTACCTTTCATCATTTAAAAAATAATGATCGCAAGTTGCTAGCATAACTTTGTGTGTAGCAATAACTGGATTATTATTGTTTTGGTTTTTGTTTTTTTCAAATCAATCATCTGTGATCTGAGCTGTCAAAAGACAAACAGCTAAAACACAAACAGTCTTTATCATCACTATGTATGTATCCTTTTTGTGTACAAAGCTCTTTACCTGAGGTCTGAGTGGCAAACCACCACCCTGCGCCGCCAGCTTTCTCCGACTGAGAAGGTAGTAAGTTCCGGAACATCCTCTATGGTCTTGTGAATCAGGTATCGCAGTCTGCTCGGAAGGCATGGGAATAGGAGCACACTGGAGGAGGACAAAGGCAGCAGTGAGGAACCATATACCATTTATTGTATTCTTTTCACCAACATGAAACTAATTTCAATCAAAACAACATTAACACAGCACAGAAGCACCTTAAAGCATAAAGGTTTACATTTCAAAAAGTGTTTTGTCAACTATTTGTTGGGGCTTGTTGCTAAACTTCCTTAAATGTAACAAAACCAAGAAAAGCAACAAAACATTAAAACATTACTGAATTTACCCCCTAACTAACCATGAGTTAGTTAAGGAGAAAATGAAGGATTATTAGCATTGTCATATACAAATGTTTCTCTTTTTGTTTATATAAAGGTTTTGAGAATTCTCTCACACAAAAAGTGTACATACAGAGAAAAGTTAACAAAAGGGACATGTCCTCTTTTACATGGATCATTCAGGGTTAAACATAACATAAACATGCAGATGTGGGCAAAAACTAATACGATTTTTATGAAATGATTGGACTTAATTACCAACAGCAGTCTAACCTCTCTCTCCAATTCTTCTTTTGGTATGTCTCCAGCTCATCCAGTACATGATGCACAAACTCATTCTCTTCCCTTGGGAGATAAGTGCCGTCAAAACAGGGAAACGCCACGGTGAAGCTGAGTCGTGGTCCTGTGCTTGACTATATAATCTGGAAGTGAGGTGAAATCCTAACTACGCTAAATGACTAACGTCTGAGAATAAATAAACATTAAACACACAAAACTCATTGTGTTTTGTAACGTTAACAAACCGCAACGGCTGTAATGTTTAGTACAATTAAATACATATAGCAATACAATGGCCAAGTCGCCATTTGTGTTCTTATAATTTTAAATGTTCTCAGCTATCACAACCAAACGTGCTATGGTGTCATACGGTTGTTAGCATTATTTAGCTTTTTCTATTCTTTCCTATTAGATGTCGCTTGTCAAACTTCTTGCATGTATAATGACAGAAAACTTTAACCCCTTTAGGACGTCTTCTTAATTTAACTTCTCAAAAGAAGATTAGCATTTACGCTAGCAGAATCATAAATTCCATCCCACGAGCTTCCTTCCTCCCCTTCCTCTTTGTAAGTCCATGTTATTGAAATACTGCCACCCACTGCCCCGACGTCCTAACAACAGCGCTTTCCAAAGTGTAGATCTAGCCATATATTCTTGGTAACCAGAAAGTATAATTTCAAAAACATAACAATCCTTAAAAGATATTTACACTTAAAGATAGCACACAGGGCTGTGTAGACTAAGTATAGACTTCAACTGTCTTTGCAAATGTCCTTTCATAACTTTATAACAATTATGTCTTTCTTTTATGAATGACTAAATAGTACAAAGGTAAATTGCTTACCGTTTAGAAGAATACATAAAATATCATACCAGTTCTGCTCATTTATTATGAATTTGACACTGAGTATTGGGCCATTTTGACAGCAGCCATATTTATATAGAGTTAAGGTCATTATCTGCTAAATCAACCTTTCAACTTTCTCAGGTATGTTGGTCTTCTCGCATAGAACCAGGTCTTCAGATTATTCCAGAGAGTCATATAAATATAGATATATATATAGATACTGGACAAAAGCTCTAATACAGAATTTATTGAGAATTTATACCACATACTTTAAATAAGGATCAAAACAAACCAAATGTAAGGTTAAAAGACTGGACAAATTAAATGTAGCATTTCATTAAAATCTCTAGACACTACTTAAGGTGGTCATAGATATGTTGTTAATGGAAATCTTTTATAAATCCCAAGTGGTAAAGTCACATGTGATTTACTGAATTTTCTAAGATTTACCGTTCAGTTATGAAAGACAAACATAATGTATTCACAGTAAATTGACACGGTGGCCTCTATAAAGATAAAAGGGTTTGCATAGGTAAGGTTTTTATTTATTCTTATAGAAATTAAATCACTCCACTCCAGTAATTTTAACTGTAAAGTAGCACATTTTTATAAGGTTAATCCATGAGGTTGACTTTTTCGCTTTCTTACTAATTAAAATTATGATTGTTGACCCAAATGAACCTTCCAAAGGAGGCAAAACATTTTCAAATCAAAAGCATCCTTTTACATTAAAGGTGTACTGCTAATGGGAATTTTACATTTTAGGAACCTAAACACCTTCAAGTTTGAGATAAAACACAATTAGCCATACAGACAAAAATGGTCATTTATTTAGACAATACGCCTGATTGTTAAAAATAAAAAATTAAATTAAAAAAAAAGTTTTAAACAAGGAAATAGTGTTGAATGTTTCTGAGTTGTATGGTGACAGTGAAAAATGGCAGAAGAAAGAGAAAGTGACATTAAGAATGAATGTGACTGTGACTGTGAAAAGTGTAAGATCGCATGATGCAGAGATTTAGTGCAGTTTAACTAAATGCCAAGGCAAAGACAGGCTATTTTTCAATACACAAGTGAGACCACATTACGATAAACTACAGTGTGGCAAGTTGTAGATAGTATTATGGTATTGGTATTGGACATGAAGAAGCAGGTTTCACTGTTAAAATACTGGAGGTCTAATCTGTACATGGTGAATATATAAAAAATAAAAAAAGTAAGATATGTGCACAAAAAAAGTAATCATTGTATAAATAACAGAAGTAAGATTAAAATCAAAATTATATACAGCCAATCATGTAACACAATCTGAATACATGCTTCCAGACATGAAGAGGCCAGTCAGTGATCAATCTACATGGGGAGTAAAAAGGAAGTGTAATTGTTAATGTAATGAAATACAGCAAGAATAAACCAACCTATGGGCTCAAGAAAGTTTAAAGTATAAAAACTAGTAAAACATTCAGGCGTATAGAAGAAAAGAATGAAGAGGCTGTCACAGACTGTCAGGAAAGATGATCTGGGACGGATATGATCTCATGATCTTATATGATCGCATAAACAACATTACGCTGCAGCTTCCAAGAACCTCCCATTGAAGCCAACTCTTCATTAAAAATCCTCACTTACATGTGATGGCATTTGACATGGTTCTTTATCTTCCTGATCCAATACTTCTGTCTTCAAAGATGGTGATTTCAATCTGGACAACACATTCAGAAAAATATACACACTACACACATTTCACTTATATTACAGCTTGATATCAATATCTGGTCTAATTAAGGCCACAGTAATTATAGTACATACATCTTCATAAATCAGTCTAGAGTTATAGAGTAAACAATAAGGTAAAGTGTATGATTAACGTCCCTAGCTGTTTATTATGAAGTGTGCTCCCCTCCATGGATAACAACATCAATGGTTACCTCTGCTAAGTAGCTTGTAAATCATCATTTCGGATGCTTACACGTTATGTCACACAACAAAGGATACGACTCTCAATCCTCTCTCTAGGGGGTCAGTAAGTAGCAAGCCCCTTGGAGCATAAATCTTCTCATTCTGGTCCTTGATGTACCTGGCAATTTTCTTTAACACCTGTATACAGATACAAGATTAGAAAAACAAAATATGATCAAACACATAATTAAATGTAAAATCTAAACAGTTTAAGAACACATGCGATGGATTTCATTCATGACTTGGGGGTTTCCCAGTGTAGCTAGGGAACTCTGTTTAAGCTAATATAATCATAACATGAGAAATTACATGAGGGACATATTAACATTTTTAACCAATTGTATACATTGAAAATAAAAATAAAAATAATAAAGACTGAAAATGAAGCTGTGTACCTTCTCATAGTGTGTTTCAATACAGAGAAAGATTGTGTATGCTGTAAGACAAGCCAGACAGCCCTCCAGGTAGGACTTTCCTCCAAGTTTCTCTGCCTCTGCATACAGGTTGTTTAAGGTCTGGATGGTCTCCTCAAACTGCTGTTTATCAATCTGAAAATATTCAGCTCTTTAAGGCATATTCAATAAACATTCAGCCAACAGCATAGAAATGATGATGCCAACACGGTCCAATCCTACCCTTGACTCAAGTTCGGAGGGCAGTTTTGTCTGGAACTTGCAAATGGTCCCTGAGCTGTAGTCCCTCTGGATGAACACTTTAGAGGAGACAGCTGGCTGCTGAAGATCCTGTAAACTGTGCGTCTGGACAAAATAAAAATACATTTCAGATTATTTGTACGATATCATGCCTCTTGTACTCTAACACTTACGGCAATGCTAGCTAAAATCTTCCATCAACAGCAAAACAATGCAACATAATTTAGCCACATTTGATAACGCTAGTTTCCAAAATGACTTGTAAAGAAGTGGCTTACTTAATATAACGACATGTGCTCCATTAATTGATATCATTGTTATCTTAAAAAATACAACGAACCTCACGCTGATTCCGACTATTGTTGAATAATAACAAAAGGAATGTCAGCTGTCGTTAGCTTAGGTTTGATTATCCGTCAGCTCAACCGGAAACTACAGTGCGCGTTAGGCCTAATTTAAAATCATTTCAACAATCAAGTTTTACTGGTGTTGGCATCGAATAACATGTCCTTTATGATAAATGGTTAGAAAACATAAGAGAATATTTTACCTCAGCCATTGTGGGCGCTTCCGCTAAATATCAAGAGCGTCAGCCAGTATGCATTTCCGTTTCATGTATGTGAAAGTAAGAGACCCAAAATATAGAGATACCTTCTTTTTTAACGGCAGTGGTTTTCTCGTTGACATCTCCTCCTTTCTTTTCTCTCAAGATTGCACAAAATAGATCCGTTAAGTTTCTTGCTTCTGCAGTAATAACAGCTACTAATCTTCTGAATCAAAATCCTTAAGTAATGTCAAACTGACGTCACATGTACTATATCTTTGTTGATATCATGGACACATTCGGCTACCGTTTACGGTCGTTGAAACGACCAACGTTCAACGTGTATGACTTTTATTGTGAAAACTACGTGTAAGAATCCACAACCTGGGCCAGAATATGTGTAGGCAGTAGGTAGAAGGCAAGAAAACAGAGTTCTCTTAAAGAAAACGCTATTGTCCCTGATACTAATCCATGCCGTCATAACTCCAACTGGGGTTCGGCGGTTGATAAACAAAAATATATTTAACTTTTAAAAAGTAGTTTTTAAAAGCAATAAGGTTAGCCTATTTTGGTGATCAATGCACCTTCAGTCTGGGGTTCACAGCCTCATGGTTTCTATGACAATTTGTTAAACCTGAGCCTTACCAAGAGACTGGTGCAGAACTAATATCTTTTGGACTTCACTCAGGTGAGTGACAGCATGATTTTGAATTTCATCAAATTTCTCATCCTCTGCACAACACTGGATGCACTGCGCAGCAGGTTGTTGCATCCGATGTAAGGGAATCTTATTCACTCCCACAAAAAAAAAGAAAAGAAAAAAAAGGACCAAGGTTGTGTTTAAATTATACAGCCTACCTCCATCTGTCCCCAAGGATCACTTAAATTCAACCCAAACTTTACTAGAGGAACACCAACTTCCACACCATATACAAAGCATAACAGATCAGCACGAGTCAAAACATTTGTGATTTTTTTTTTATTGAATCAAGCTGTTAGATTCATATTTGGTTCTGTTTGCTGTATTTTGTTTAGTCAAACAGACCGAAGCCCATGTCATCATCTGATTCCTCAGACTCTTCTTTGACTTCTTCCTTGGCAGCAGCAGGTGCTGCAGCGGTCTCAGCAGCAGCTGCAGGTGCTGCAACTGCAGCAAAGGCTGATGGGTCAGCAAGGAAGGCCTTCACCTAATAAGCACAAGAGGGTCATGTTATCTTTAGCTACACAAAGTGGGTGTGCAAAATTCTTTAAGGTAAAATTGTCTGCAATCTATTATCCCTGACTGCTCAAATACCAGAACAGGCAGGGACAATAAAGCAAACATGTTGCTTTTTGCAGGGTGATCAACGATGCAGCACTGCACTGCTACACCGAAACCTATCCTGCAGTAAAGCCAAGAACTAATGCTGCATTTTACCTTATCTGCAAGGGGGAAGGAGTAGTCCGTCTCCACAGCTACAGCCAGGACTCTCTTGTAGCCATTGATGATGGAGTGGGGGAGAGAGGCCAACGTGGGGTAGCCAATTTCCAAACACACACTAGCAATGTTCCTCACACCCTAAAGACAACATACATGTTCAAAAGACGTCCTAGTAAAAGGATACAAGTGCTTAAAACAATTTCTACATCATGAGTTGTATCTGACCTCAAGGAATCTGACATGGAGAGACTCCTCAGTGATGTCCAGCACTTCAGGACTGTAAACACTGCCATTGTCATACACCTGCTGGATTAGCAGTCCGTAGGAGAAGGGCGAGATGTTCAGCATGTTGAGCAGTGTGGCTTCACTGGCACCAACCTTGTCGCCAGTCTTGATCAGACTGACATCACTCTGTAAGAAAAAAGTTTGAGGTGCACCTTGAACACTGATTTATCAGCACTTTTTTGGAACATCTATATTGGAATGTAATCTTACCAAGAACTTTTTTTTGGAACTTCTATATTGGAATGTAATCTTACCAAGATTTCAATGGTTCCTCTTGAGATCTTGGTGGTGATACCAAGGGCCTGGAAGAAAGAGGTCTTCTCTGGACCCAGCCCAGTGTTCTGTGCAGGCACAGTCACATCACAGGGGGCGATGGCTCCAGCACGAGCAGCAGCTGGTACCTGAAGTTAGACAGCATTTTAGAATTAGGTTTTTACTAATGTGGTTTGAACTGCTAAGAAATCATAGCCAATTTTACATTTGTCTGAAACCTTACGTCCCTGACTGTCAAAGGATGTTGACAGACAGGTATAGCGAGGAAACAGAATGCTGTTTGCAGGGGGAACGACAATACAGTACTGCACCTGCTGCATTGTAACTTATCCTGCATTGGAACAGTAATACCCTCTAGAGAATGTTAAAAAGGGATTGTTGGGTGTCAATTATCCTGATGTTGGGTATGTCTTTTTTAAAACAATAGCATGATTACAAACAAGTCAGCATAAAGACTGTTGGTTTTCAACTTTGTTTACCTTGTTAACAAGCAGCATGTCTCTGACCTCAGCCAAATCCTCCTTGGTGAAGACAAAGCCCACATTTCCTTTAATGTGGGGAAGGAGCCTACCATGAGATCAGCTGTTAATTATACAGAGCACCTTAGTAAAACATAAATAAAAGTCAATGGGTGTCTGAGACCTTGCGTCCCTGGTTGCCAGATTAGTTTTAAGCAGACAGGGATAGCTGGAAACAAATTACTGTTTGCAGGGGGAACGACAACACAGCACCAAACAAGCCGTACTGTAACTAATCCTGCAGTGCATAAGAGACGTGACTGTAACAGGGCAAGAACTACATACTCACTTCTCCAAGGCAGGATTGTTTTCCAGGTGGCCACGGATGGCTTTGCGCATCATGGTGTTTTTGCCCATGAGCACAACAGCCTTGCTACGGAGGGACACACGGATGGTCTGCATTTGCTTGGACCCCACATTGTCTGCCCCGACGATGAAGCATTTGGGAAAGTCATCCAAAAGTTGCTACAAGTGGCAAGTGACAGGAATTTTAAGCAAAAGTAAATACAAGCAATACCAACACAGGATTGTGTTTCTTTTTTTAAACTTACAATGATTTTCATAAAATAGTTGGACTTCCACGTGGCCCTGTCTTCCCTGGGCATCTTTGCAGTGCTTCCAAGGATCGCCTAACAGCTGGTTTAAAGACAAGGTAGTACCTAGAGGGTAAAAAGAGTACATTTAGACGATTACAGACAGGAAGTAGTAACATAGCATGGCTTTACATACATCCATGCGGATGTTTTAAACGGAAAGAAACCAAATGCGACGGTTATAAACCACTTCTAACCGTTGCGTTTCCTTACTAAAAATGGAGTACATTTGAAAACGCATTTAAAATCAAATTCTAACTAAACTATCCATTATCAACCATTTACAGACACCATCGGCGATTCAAGTTCTCTTAAATACCGACTCTAGTCTGTGGTTTCCATGTGGCGTGATGCTAACGCTAGTCACATCTAGTGCTAATAGTGTGTCAAAGGGCCGCATTTGGTCGAGCAAAAAAAAAAACAAACCATCAAACCATTAAGCTCAATACACTGCCAAACGCACTACAGTTTGAAAGAGCTTAATGTGTAAAGATTAAAAACTCGTTCGTAAACGGCTAATGCTAGTTAGCCAGTGGTACGATAAGGCCGCACGTGGTCGAAACGAAAAAATGTATTATAATTTACCAAATAACCATGTGTTTTAACTACATAAGTACATCTGATTAGTGGCATTTACAAACATCTCCATAAAAAGTCCTAAATAATCTAAATTTCGTACTTATACCAAGAGCAAAACAGTATGCTTACCGCTTAAGAGGGTCGCGTGAAAGAAAGAGGAAAAGGAAGGGCGGCGTAAGAATATATATTTAATAATTGACCAATCACAAGACACAGCGGCAGATACTGCTCGGCCATTGGTTAGTTTTACTGTCTCGCACATTTACAGCGGAAGTTACCTAAATAAGGAAGACGATATGGACGTAGTTTTAAATACCTGACAATAATTTTATCTTCTAAAACAGGGAATTCTAACGTTTTCGTTTAAGGAGTCAATGAACCACATTTGTCTTGTATTTTAACATGTTCATATTTTTATTCAATGGTCTAGGGTTAGCTTCTAAAACATTCTAAAACGCCTAACCAGAGGCTATAGAAAAATAGAAAGATAACTCATAATGAACCTAGAATTGGGAAAATCTAAGTAATGAACTCACATTTATGTAGACCGTCTACATTAATGGGAGTCAATTACGTAACAGTCTTAATGGAAATATATATACACATACCATAGAGATGTTGTGGTATACTGCCGTGTATATAAATAAACAAAACAAATACAATAATATAATAATAATACCATAAAACATGAATAAATAAATAAATAAACTCAAAAACTGTAGTTATATTGTGTTTTTACTGTTAGACAATACATGGTGTGGACATCAGTTCTATTTTTTTACTGTATAATGATTTGTGACTGTGTACCTTTAATATCCTGTCTACCCTCCGGAACGGAGGGCGGCATTAGTGCACCGCCACGATGCGGTGTACAGGCGCTGTTGTATATTGCGTGCTGCTAACTGAGCTTAAACACAATAGTGTGTAAAAGTTTTCTTTTCTTTCTTTTTTTAAGTAGCTGTAGTTACGAAGAAGGACGATGTCGCACCCACCGCTCCTGCTGTCGCCGGAACTGTGGAGCCACGTGTTTGAGTATTTGTCAATGTCGGACAAGTTTAATGCTCGGGCCTGCTGCAAATACTTTAAAAGGCTGGTGGATCATTGGTCTTTGTGGAGAGATTGGACGGTAGTGCTGACGTTCCCTCGCAGCGGGCCTTACAACGCTGAGTTCTGGTCCACTCTGCGGCGCAGGAGAGTAAGCAGCGCCGTAGTGAAGAGCAGCAGAACCAAAGACTGGAAACAGCTGGCTCAGTGTCTGCCGACCCTCAGCACACTGGTGGTGGAGCACAGCTGTCAGAGCAGCCTGGACTGTCTAAAATACTTTAGTTACATTAAGCGGCTGGTCATAAGACACAGCAACACGTCAATTGTCCTCGATGCCTCCATTGTTAAAGAGTCCCAACACCTTATACACCTGAATCTGTGTGATGTGAAGTTGACCAAACCCACGCGCCACAGCTTCATCTCTGCCGTGTCCTTCTTTTCTAACCTCACGTCTCTGGTCTGCCACCATCTAGGGATCTTCGAACACACTAGTGTAATGATCCACTCTGTTCTCAGCTGCCTACCAAAGCTGGAGCATCTGTCGCTGTCTGTTGTGCACAACCTGTATAGCAATATTCCAGGACCTGATCTGTACCGGTCACGTGGACTAGCTAATGCAAGGACCCTGTTTAGCTTGGAGCTCATCGACTGCATGGATCAATCGTTATCAGAAGATCTGATGAAGTTAGTGCCTGGTCTAAAGAGTCTGTCTGTTTCCTACAAGTACACACACCAGGAGCTGATGGACAGAGAGTTGTCTCCCCTGTGTCACTTTAAAACATGGCTGAGTGACCTTCCTCATCTGACCACCCTGGCCATCTTCAAGGGCCCACCAGTGAAGCAGTATGTCTCCTCCATTCCAACCACAGTCACCGACCTCACACTCTGTGTTGCAGGGCTGTCCTCACAGGATCTGACGGCCACAGCAGCCCGGTTGCCAGATCTCCTGCACCTCCATATAAACCCTTGGCCCTCACACTCGGGTGCGCAAACACCTGGAATTCCTTTGCTTTTTCCAAAGCTTAAACGTCTCAAACTTCCCCATGAACATATACCAGAAAGCAAATTCTTGGCACTTCACAGACTGTGTGATTTAGTGTACCTGGAGATCCTGGATGGCAGTCCATATCTCTCTAAACTCACAGAAAAACTCAAAGCTCTCACAGACTACAAGCTTCAAGTGATAACTTCTCCCAGCCAGAGAAATGTGTTGTCTTGTTGCTAAGTATTTACAGACACCACAAAAATGTGATGGACAGGAGTATAGCAGTTTTTTTTTACCAAATCTGAAGGAAAATGCAGCTGAACCTAGCTGTAAAATAAAAACATTGTGTTGTTCTAATAAACCTAGACATATGTATCAGCAGGGACCTTATCACATAGATGGTTGGTTACTGTCTGAGGAACGTATTTTGACGAACTCAACACTGCCCCCTAGTGGATGTATTGATAAAAACCACTGAAGAAAGTGTAAATACGGCTAATATGTTAACGTAGGAAACTGGAGTGAAATTAGTTTGAGTTTTACATCTCAGCCAAGAAGCTCAGCCAAGAAGGTTTAGGATAGTGCCTTTGGTAATAGTCTGGTTAGTGGTTATCTTTTAAAGAGAAAATCTGAAGTCAATTAGAAGGTAATTCTCAGATGATTTTAGGAAGCCAGAATTCACTGCATTAGTAAGACATAAGGACTTCTTAAAGCAGCAGCCCCAACTCTATGTGGCCACACAAGTGAGACAGCAGGGTGCATACACGAGGACTGGTTTTCAAAGATGACTATAACATCTACTGAATGGAAATAAAGGCACTGCTGGGATTTGAACCCTTCTGTATACAAGACAGGCATTTTAACCAGTCAGGGGGAACAGATATTAGACATTTGTCATATTTCAAATGTACATTTTGCTACAGTTTGATGTGATCAGTGACAGTGAAAAAAAGAACTTCTGCTCAAGACAGAATCGCAGAGATAAAGAACTTTATTTTTGCAGCAGTTACATTAGTCGCTCAGTCATCGGAAACCACCCACACAAAAAAAGTTAAAAAAAAAAAAAATCAGTTGACCTGGAGGGAAAACTTAATCTCAGTCTTTCATTGTTTTCATTTCAATCTTTGACAGAAGCAAAAACTAAAAGGCAACTGTAGCTACATAAATGTGGATAAAAATCAACTGACAACTCCTGGTCACCTTCTCAGGCACACAGTTAGAATGCAGGCGCACATGTGTTTCCAACTGCCTGTTACCTTACATCTCAGTCTGCTCAGTACAGCCCATTACAGTGTTTAGATGTACCACAGCAGATGAAGCCTCTCCTCCGGCTCCAGTCAAAGCAGAGGAGAGAAAACTCCAGTGTGTAAGACCTTATTGCATTGACACATTTGGCACAAGAAAATGAGGCATTTCTAGATCAGTCAATGTGGATGCTGTGGTTCAAATGTGTTCACACCTGCCAAGAAAATGAAAGAAAAATGACAAATATGTGACAAAAAGGAGCTAAAAGTAAAATAAACATGTATTTGAAAAGAAGCCTTGGTGTCTGATTCCTGATCAGCTAAATCAACCCAACACTCTAAGCACAGGTTCATAGTTCATCCCTTAAGGTACAAATATGTAACTGAAGCTGGTGTGTGTGTTTGTGTGTGTGTGTAAGAAGAGGAATCACAATTGTTTTGTGTACTTGCCAACAGAGCCAGCTCCTTGTATATCAGTCTGAAACTAGAAAACTCAGAATTACATTTTTTTTAAATCAAAAAGGTGACAAAACACAGCTCTGTCACAATGCCAAGCACAGCATACATCAATTTAGACTCTGATTGTAACAGCAACTGGCAGCTAATGCTGATGCTAAATGCTAAATCACCCCAAAGAAATATACAATGACATGCTTTTAATTCAAATAGGCAACCCAATCTTAAATCATCATTCAGTCTTTAATCCGAGTGAAGTTAAGTGATATTTGACAGGAACACAAAAAGTGACGTGAGACAAATGTTCGCCTGACGCAAATCATACCATAAATCCTCAAGCAGCAGATCTTCACTTTTGATACACGTTTTTGGCTTTATTTAATGAAATGATTCAGCATCTATAAAAAATTAAACAAACATACATCATCCATCAAGAGCTCTGATGGTATGAGTTCATGAGAACAGCTCAAAGGTCAACAGTAAAACACTGTTGAACAAACGCCATATTCAGAAAAGTTGGTACGCATTACTATAAATGGAGTAAAAGCTCAAATCTGTGGTATTGGTAATCAACAGTTTTTAACACAAAAACAAACATGTTTTAAAATGATTTTTTACTGAAATAAACTGGATTCTAAAAGTATTTCTGCAACACACTTCAAAAGATAACACAAAAACTATTCTGGTTTACTGGCAACATTAAAGTATCCTAGTAGGACTGTTCTTTGTTTTGTTCTTTGTTTTGTAAAGGAAGGTGGTAGCTCAGCACCACCAGTGCAAGTATGCAAATATTATAATGGATTTTCACTAATTATAATTGGTAAGTTTGGCAAAGTTTCAGGAAGAAAATCTGCAAAAAGGCCAAAGGAGAAAACACGCGCTGAATGTGCGTGACCTTTAAGGCTTTCAGTGGTGTTGCATTAAAAAACATCACTCACCAACAAAAGGCATCTGTGATGATATGAGCTGCACCAGGGATTTGTAGGAAATCATAGGAGTTGGACTGGCCTGTCTGTACTCTGTTATCCATTTCTCATTAAAAGCATTAGGCACATAATACAGAAGAGAATGAGATAACTGTAGGAATATTGAAAAGCTCCAGTCCCTAGACAACAGTCATTCGACCAACAAATGTTCAACGATGGTTCTTTGTGTCTAAGTGTGTGTGTTCAAAGAAAGTTGACATGACTCTGTGTTAAACGTCTTTTGTTTGTTGCAGTTGTTGCTTTATAAGCTAGTTTATTAAATGATTAAGTAAATGAACGACATCATCCAATTTCATCTTTGTCTGATAAATAAAAAAAATCTGAATGAATCTACACTGTGTACCAACTTTCTGAAAATCAGGGTTTGTATTACAACAAGCTGCTACATGAAAGATTTCAATGTGGTTATTTTCCTAATGGCAGCAAAAAATGAAGTTACATGACAACATGGATGTATGTACAGTTTGAGGAAACTGAGAAAATGTGTTTTTAATTTTTTTTTTTTAGTGAAACAGTAGAAAAATACGTACAGATTTCCCAACGACACACACATAAAATGCACCTTTCAATACCAAGAGTGTGCACTGGGACGACTGAGTTGGGCTTCTGTCTGTCTGTACTGTATACGTCCAGATGGTTATTTTTTTTAGAATGGCACCTTAACAGTTTCCAAAAGTAGAAAAATACATTTTTATACGTTATCAACACAACTTATCCAGGCGCGGGGTATTCAACCTATTATCATTTAAAATCTGATGACATCACCTTTCTGTGGTCCATGCAAACAAGCAGCTGTCTCAAATCTGCATAATGTAAAACCACCATACACTGCAAGGTCTCGCCCTGCAATGGGGAAATAGAATCATTTGAAAAAATACAAGAACACGTCTCACACTCTATCAGGGTTATGTGCGGACCCACACGTCGTCTTGCTCACAGGAATAAACCCCTAAATAAAAATCTCTTTTGGCTCTTGTAAAAAATCTTTAGCAAAAGTGTGAAAATGTCAATATTGTCTATTCAGTGTTGTTGTTGATGTTACCCACCATCTTTGTGACTTCACCTCACACCAACTTCTCTGACTTATGCGCACACACGTCTGTGTGCAATCCAACGCAATTTGTAGATGTCGACCCGGCCAATCACTCACGGTCTAGCTGAAGAGTTTGATGAAGCAGCTGTGGCAGTAGGGCTTGTCGTTCTGCTCCTTGAAGGTGCCTTTATTCAGCTGCTTCAGGCAAAAAGCACACACAAAGTGCTCTGGGTGGAATTTCTTGCCCATGGCTGTGATGCAGCGGCCAGTGATTGGCTTCTGGCAGCCGGAGCACAGTGAGCCGCGGCGCTCATGGTAGTGTGACTCGCAGTACGGCTGCCCCTCGTGATCAAAGAAGCTGCCATTTATAAATGGCGTGAAACACTCCTGCAGGAGGACAGAAGGTTAGAGGACAAGTTAAAGCAAACAATGGGGTGAAACAGCAGAGAATGAGGACTCACCCGGCAGACGAAGCACTCAGGGTGCCACAGACTGTTCAGAGCAGAGATGTAGTTTTCCAGGATGGCCCGGGCACAGCCACCACATTTTGGAGCAAACATGTCGAAGTAGTCCTTTCTGCAGTAGGCCTTTCCATCCTTCTCGTGGAAACCTAGAGGGCAGCAGAGGAACAGTGAAACACTTGAAAAATGGTTCTTTATTTAGTGTTAGTGATGTCTTCATGGATCAAACAGGTGATCTAGTACAGACAAAATACACTCAAAATACTATTACAGATAGAATACATAATGAACCATTCCTAACTAAGACAATATTCTTCCAGCTCTAAAATCATTCCAAAGTTTAGGGATGTTCCTTTTTCACCCTTGACAACATATTACAGAAAATTACTTGACAATTGCTGACATTGCTGAATGACAATCATTTTTAGTTTTTATCATGACTATGATATATATATATATATATATTTTTTTTTTTTTAACGTTTAGCCTTTCATATGACTGCTGAGCCTGAACAGACAGCAGTCTAGTTTGGCTTCTTTTTAAATGTCCCAAAATAAAATGTCAAATGTGCATTAAACGTTGTGACTAGTTCTTTCTGAATGAAAATATTCTCATGTTTTTCTTCTCATACGTCATGGCTCAGCTTCAGCCAGCTACAGAGTTACACGCCCCAGTTTAAGAAAGACACTGGTACCTTCTGGTCCAAAAAAGGATCCACACTGGGCACAGAAAAAATGTTCCGGATGCCAGGTTTTGTCCAATGCAGTCACAACTTTCTGTGAAGCAAAAAGAAAAATCAACTTGTTGTATTCAAAACTTTCTATTTTTACTATTTGTGAGACAACAATCAGTGTGGGCTGGAAGACCAGGAGAGGGCAGGCACAGTCTACTGCTGGGAGTGGGAAGTGCTGGAATGTTATGATAATTAGCTCATGTTTTTCAGGCCTGAGCGTGTCTCAGCAGCTCAGGATTGGGACACACACACACACACACACACACACACACACACACACCAACACTCTCATCACGTAACACAAAATATAATCACTAACACAGAAACCCAAGTTCTGAAAAAGGTTGAAATCACTTTGAACACACCCAAGACGTTTGAGTACACAAATGACATTTGACTTTGCCACAAGTGACTTTTGATTTTTGACCACTAGGGGGTACAATTCGGACAAATGTGTTTTTCTGAGGCAATGGCATTCATAATGAGTAGAAAAAAATAGAAAAATACAAATAAACAAGTTCTCAGTGGAAAACATTTTTGAAAAATATTAAACTAATGAAATAGTTTAATATTAACTATATAGGTTTTGACCAGTACATTTAGTTTTTATATAGACAGCTAATGAATATATTTAATGGACATAATATTACAAAAATGAATTATGTTTAAGTACTATATATATTCTTTTTTACATTCCAAAGTGTATGTGTATGCGCACATGTGTGTCTGTATGTGCTAAAAACACATAGCAATGATGAATGTGGGGGGTTTTGGCTGTGAGTCACGCTGACCTTTTTAAACTCTACTGTCCACCAGCTACTTCCATTTTCAGTATGTCAGGCAGTGAATGTGTACATGTGTGTCGATTTGTCTGCAGAGGAATATTGTCTGTCGTCGTTAGCCAATCCCCTGAAGGACGAATGTCCTTGTGTGAGTGCTGACAAGTGAGAGCTGAGATTATCCGACAGTAGCATATGTTATTGTCAGTCTGTATTTGTGCCTCAATTACAAGCTGCTTGACTTTTACTGCCACCTCTGTGTGTCAGTGTGTGTGGATTCAAAAGTTTGCAGTTGTAGTAATTATTTCCCTAGGGCTCTAATCTATTAGATTATGAATAAATAAATATCAGTGTAGGTGTCTGATTTACGTGAGTGAGTGAGTGTGTGTGTGTTTAATGCATCCAGCACTTACATCCAGGATGGGTCCATTACAGTACTGACATCTGGGTGAGAACAGGCTGTGGTAGTCTTTCTCGCAGTAGGGCTGACCGTCTCGCTCAAAGAAGTTTCTGGAGCCGATCTCCTCCTGGCAGTGTGTGCACACAAAGTGCTCTGGATGCCAAGTCCTGCCCATAGCAGTGACCACCTGGTGCACGGACAGGTTTTAATGCATTAAAAAGAAATGAGCTATCACCAGGCCAAGCAGCAAATGTACTACAGGTAGCTCAAATTTCCTAAGTATCCACTCATCTATGTAGTTTGCTGACATCATCAAAACAATATTATTTAAGACAGTGAACATTCTTAATCCTTTCTACAGGCCAGTATTAAGAATTGTTGATTATTGGGATTAATTACAGTCACGATTAATCATGGCTGATCGTGATTAATCATGACTAACCATTTCATAATATTATTACCTGTCCAACAATGGGTTTCTTGCAGGCTCCACAGACACCCTTAGCCACGGTCTGGACTCCCAGTCTGTTGAGGTCTGATTGCAGGCTTCCTAGCATGTTGTCCAGCTTGTTAGCCGGTTTTGGCAGTGAAGTGGGAGACGTCTTTCCCTGGGACTGGATCTATCAGAGAAAAGAAACCAAGATTTCTATAATTTTACTAAATTGCTTGAGTAGAACAGTAGAGCGTTAACAACCAAGGCAGTGAATACTGTGGTGAACGGACGTATTTTCTATAAAAGTATGCGCTGGATTTTGTGAGTGATCTGCCTCTTTTGTGGATAAACAGACACACCTTCTCAGATGGTGCAGACATCGGAGCTTCATGACACCTACAATCCTTTGAGACAGAAAATAGCAACTCTGCTCCGTCTATTTTATCTCACTCACAAACACTTACTCCTGACCGTATACACAGCAACAATGTCTACACACCTATGCATAAATCCTTATTTTAAAAACTATAACACAAATGATTACACAATCTAACATATGACAGGAATCAATGACGAATGACACTCTGGTATCTAACCTAGTGGGACCTGTTGAAGGAAGTCCTACGGGAGATGCTATAATTGTTGGTAACTGTGCTGTCATGTGCCATATTAGGTTTCAGTTGCACCACAGGCTTGCCATTCCTGCACATTGCAGGACAGTTAGTGCATTGGAAACATGTGGGGGGTGGGGGAGGGTTGCCTTTCTCCTGCCTCTAAGCCCTGAAACTCTCAACAGCTCTGTGAGAACATGGCTCTTGGCGCCATCAGATGTCAGAATTAGAAAAGGGTGTTCAGTCTCACTGTCCTGGAAGTCAGTGCCCCTCATAACCCAGACTGATGGGGTTTCTGACAAAGCTTTAAAGTTGGGTTTCTGTTCTGGCAAGAATGGACACCACAGAATTTAAAAACCAGGCCAGATTCAGTTGTTCACAATATTACTGAGGTGCAACTGCTAGGATTTGGAGGAAATAAGTATGACTCATATTTAAATATAATAATCAAAAGTGTGGTCACTGATTTAAACCAATTTCATAAAACAAGAAAGAATAATGTAGAAAGTGTTTTTGATATAACATTTCATTAAAATTTTAAATAATAAACAACTACACCACACTAATAAATACATGCCTGCTGCATAGATTATTCATAAAAGTAACCTAAAGGCTAAAGCTTTGTTAACAAGAACAGTGCTTTATGTGAAAATAGGCTAGAGAATCACATGTCTGTTTTTTTAGAACAAGAAACTAGTGCAGTATTGCAGTTGCAATGGAGACCAGGTCATGGGATTCAAAGATAATTCTTGTGGAAATTTACTTAAATGTGTCCACATTTCTGATCATATACCACGGTTAAAAAACATCAAGGCTGTTACTGACAAAAGATACAAAATCAGCATCAAAAAAGGGAAATGGATTGTTTTCCACTTTTACTGAATTTTAAGAGGGTCGTAGGTGAAGAGTTTATTTTCTCAAGAATTTGGGGAATTTCTCAGCCAGGTGTTTAAATGTGTCAAACAAATGTGAACACACAAAAAAGAAGAAAATGTTTCATATCCTAAATTGAATAACATTACACAAATTAAAATAAAATAAATACAAGTGTGATTGTCTGAATTTTAACAAATAGAACTACAGTAAGATGGTCAATGAAAACACTGTTAGTCCCAACTACTCCCTTTTGCCCTGAAGATCTGAATGCATTTCCAGATGACCTTTTGAGTTTTATTGCATTATAAGAAAGGCTACCAACCTAACTGAAGATGCATTGGAAAAGTATAAAATAACAAATGTCACTATATAATGCCAAGAAAAAGAAGCAACACCTTGTGTGGGCGAATGTGGAAAGTATGAGATGAGAGAAAACAGAGATGTGTATGTAGGGTGAGCCGTGCCTGCAATGGTGGGAAGACAGGGTCATACTCAGTCTGGCAGCCCACTGATACAAAGACTTTGGGTGGAGGAGGTGGTGTAACAGGCTTGGGAGGGGGGCTAGGTGATGGAGGAGGCTGGACAGGGGGAGGTGTGGGCTCCCTCGGGGGAGGAGTTGGCACTTTGGGGGGTGGTGGAGTAGGCTCCCGAGGAGGCGGAGGAGTTGGAGGGGGAGGAGGAAGGGGAGGAGGAGTCTGCTTAACTGGGGGAAGTTTTTTGGGCACTGGGGGAGACTGTGGAGAGGGTAGGACTTTTCTCGGTGGGGAAGGAGATTCAGGAGAGAGAATGATCTGGGGGAAGGAAGGAAAAATGAAAGGACAGAGAGAGAGGAAAGCAAAGAGTAAGATACAAAAACAAGGTTAGAAACAAGAAAAGGGTAAGAAGTAATGGAAGTGACAACTGTGCCAAACACTTTCTTTTTTCATTTAAAAGTCATTAGACATTTGCCAGTCAAATTCTTAAATATATTAAGTCCAATTGTAACGTGATGCTGCTCTAAATTTAGCTCTGAATAAACAGGGTATGTGCCTCTCAGGTCTACCTTATCCACAGATGGACGGACCCCCTCTTCACGTGTACGCTGTGGGTTAGACATGACAATGACTCCCTCCGTCAGCCAGTCATCTGGCTGCTGTTTGCGCCGGCGCTCCACCCGCCCTATCCCCAGTTTTCCCTGCAGCTCCTGAATGAGTCGGTCCTGTGAGTTGCTTTTATTCACAATGATTGGTCCCATTTTACGGCGGAGAAGCCCCTCCCTGTACATTGGATGCACATTGGAGGTCTCTTTGGTGCGGCGGATAACTGACTTGAGCTAGAGAGCAGACGATAAGGAGGTTGTGGAATTCTGTGCTTGCCAATTACCAAAAACGTCTATGTCAAACTCCAAACACCATTAGCACAGCCCCAGCACAGGATGTCTCATTCAAGCAGCAAAAATACACAAGTTCCATCTCTCTCAAAACATGGCAATCTATTCTCAGCTCTCTTTGAAATCATTCAGTAATTTAGTTCGCCATGCTGGAAGCTCAGGTTGATACAACAAAATTCTACTGCTTTCACAACAATTAGGACATGCCGATGGTCAACAATACAATATCTCCCCCCCCCTGCAGTCTGATTCCCATCTCCAGAAAAGTTAGTTCTATATAAAAAATATAATAAAATAATACAATGGTTAGCAGTATCACACCTACTATCATCTAAAAACAAATATAATAAAAGCATACATGAAATTAGGAGGAGACTTATCTTGTAAAGTGAAGAAATTCCCTGTGATTGATTATAACCTTTAAGATATAGTAGATATAGTTCGCCTATATCTAAAAATGGTGCATAAAACCAAAAATTGCCTGTGAACGATTATAACCTTTAAGAGCGAACTATATCTAAAAATGGTGCATAAAACCATATTTTACAAAAAGGACGCTGTTTGTGATTAACACACAAAAATGAATACGTATTCAAGTTTACTAGCAAATAGAAGATTTTAGTTTAATCAATTCCGTGTACCAACTTTTTCGGAAATGGGATCGTCTTTGTTCATCGAGAACATACTCAAAGGCTAAAACAATCCATACTCTATTGAAATCTCGATCACATTGCAGTCACCAAATAAAAACACACTCTGGCATCAGTACCTGGTAGTGTTAGCATGACAAGTCAGGTCCAGTGACTCATACAGTAATGTCAAGTGAAGCAAGTAGGGGCGTGCATAGAATTCTTTTCAGCAAAGCTTTCAGCATCTGCCACAGTATCACAAGAGAGATTTTTCTCTCAAGCCATCGCACACTGCACTATCTAATAATACTACATGCACCACACCACAGAAAAAAAAATGAAATCAATAAATGCCTTTTTGTACTATTGTTCAGCTCCTGGGTTTTTTCAAAGAGCTGCTCTTCCAAAATAAGCTTCTTTCAGCAGACTAATGATACAGCTAGAGAAATATCTTCTGACAAAGCTTTGTGAACGGCTTGTTGCTGTACACAGTTATTACGACAGGTCACCTATGAGACCAAATACAGCCTCTTAGCTTTATGCTAGCAGCTTATTTTGGAAGACCGCGGTTGAGCATCCTACTTGGCCAGAGGCAGAGAGCCTCTCTACAGCAGAAGGCTGCTGTATGGGCAGGTCCAGTGTGGCATCTGGTGTCCCTGGGCAGGTGGAAGGGGTGAAACACTCATCCATCCAGCTGGACTCAGTCATAGGTGTGAGGGTTCCCTCGAGGCTCAGATCGAGGTTAAGTCCATCATCGTCCTCCCAAGATCTGTCTTCATCTCCAGACAAGAATTGTGCCGAAGATTGTGCAGAGTCGGGGGCTAGTAGTTTGTCTAATGCGTCATCCAGTAAAGGCTCCCGGCAAGGCCACGTTAAATATGGCACCATGCTCGCTTGTTTTTCTACGTTTGGGGGTGACAGGGTGTTATATCGTGCCATTGATGGTGAGATAGGTGATGATCTGGGACTGCTGGTGGCTGCAAAGTTGTATGTTTTTTTAACTACTGGAGAAGGACTATTAGGAACTGCAGATTCAGTCTTGGGTTGTCTTACTGAACTCCTAGGCGACATTACTGAGCTGGCATTCTTTGTACTTGCCTCTGGACTAGAGCTATTGTATTCTGATGGTGAACAAGAGATATTAGGGCTTGTAACAGGACTTGAAATTCTCGGAATCAACACTGGACTGGCAGTCTTTGGAACGGTTATTGGACTTTCACTTTTGGATGCTGGACTTGAAAGCCTTGGAACTGTGACCGGACTTACAGCCTTTGGCACTGTGTCCTCAAGTGTTTGGATTCTTAATGGACTTGGATTCTTAAAAGTTTCTAAATGACGACTTATGGGATCTGGCTTTGAACTTGTACCAGTTTGACTTATACTGGCAGATTTAGAATCTGATAGACTCAGACTATTGGTTTGAACGATGGGACTAGGGCTCTTGGAAGCAACCACGTCACCGAAGGTCTGCACAGCAGAACTTGGAATTCTAGAGTTGTTTACAACAGCAGACAGACTTCTTTCTAGAATTGTTTACAACAGCAGACAGACTTCTTTCTACTTGACTTGAGATTTCACAAGTGACAACTGTAGTGGCTAAATTCTGTGTAATACTGTTAACTTCAAAATGACCAATAGGCTTGCTGGATATATTGATATTTTCTGAATGAGAAATCTCAGAAGACAGTGTCACATCATCATCATCATCATCATCATCATCATCTTCAATCTGTTGGATCTTGGTGAATATGGATGATGATGTGACCACAGTGGTAGCAGCTGAAGTGACATGTGCAGAAGACCCATCTTCATCGATATGTAGTTCTAGTGGAACAGTGTTACAGGTGGGAGTGGTGTTACTAGAAGGTACAATACCACCAGGTACACCATCATGAGAATTTATAGGTGGTGGCAAGGTAACTGCTAGAACAATAGGTGAACCAGCTGCACCTTTAGAGTCAACGCACTCCTGATTTACAGACAATTGAGAGCCAGACTAGATAAAGTGAAATTGTAGAGTGTGTAACACACAAACAGACACAAACAACACAGTGATAGAGAAAAGAGAAAGAGACCAGGAAAAAGATTGAGCCAAAAGTAAGTGATGTAAAAAACTGTCTTTTCTCTAGGTGATAGAAATGAAGTAAAACAAAAACTGAAAATAAAAAAGAGAAATGATCCTTCTGCAAACACATTTCTAACACAGCTATTTTTGATGACATATGGAAACTGTTCTATCTGTCTATCATAGAGCAACCATTTTAATATGCCTGTGTGGTGTCTTATTGTTTAGGTCATATTTCTTCAAATCTTGTTAGCTAGTAGAAACATTACTGAAAGTTCAGTTCAACTTTAGGCCACAGTTTCTTTCATTTTAACAATAAGTAAGATTTGGTCTGTGCCTATTACACTCAAGTATACTGACTAGAAATATCTCTAAGAGTCAGCTCCATGTTTCTGGAGTGACCAGAAGTTTTATGGCAATTATTATGCTTCACATGGAGTCATAAAGAGTAATCTGGAGCTGGATCCCAATGTCATTTCTTAACCCCAAATATCTAAATCTCTAGCAGCCGTATTTAATTTAACATGAGTAACCCAATTAGAAAAATGAATTTTAACCACTTAGTTTTTACAATTACTTTAGCAATTGGGAACAACTCTGAACATGTGCAGCACCCTCTTGTCCTACACTGTGCTAAAAATAAATATCAAGTGTGTGTTGTGCCAATGAAATCTAGCCACTAGTAAAACCTACTCACATTGCTTTGGACTTTGAAGTCAGACAGAGAGGCCATGAGCTCATCCAGCTCTCGTGTGGCAGAGGAGGCAGACATTCTGGTTTGGTGCTGTGTTGGTGTCACATCCTGTCCATCAGTCTGGTCTTCTGACAACACCAGAGGCGTGGGACTAACAGGAAAAATGACAACCCCAGTTAAACTGAAAGTAAACCTAAAAATATAAATACATACTTTTTTCTTTGCCTCTTGTCTGCCTTACATGGGCGAGGGCACAGAGCTTTCCAATTCATCGAGAAGGCTCTCCACACTTGGTCGTACATCGTCTATTCCTCTTGTTGCAACGCTGCGCTTTGGCTTCTCAATAACAGGTGGCCCAGCCTTGCCAGAGACTCCATTCTCGTGAATTTGGTGTATAATACTGCTTGCAGGCAGAGGTGGAGCTGCATCTTCTGTTAGTGGAAAAAAAAAACTTAATTTCCCTCAACCTAAAAAATGTTCAATTAAATGGTCAATATATAGAACAGAAAATATATACAGTATGCACTGTAGAACTGTTGGTATACCTTCTGTGGGAAAGGCGGGTGTGCTCTGCTGGACAGCGTTAAGCTCCAGAAGAAGACGGTCCAGTTCAGACAGGTTGTTGCCCAGAGCCGAGTTCATGCTTGAATCACTGCTCTTCGGCTTGATAGGGAAACTATATAAACCAACGAGAACAACCGCAACTTATTTCTACTGCCACTGACAATATTTTGAAACTGGCAGCATTTTCACCAGGGCACAAAGTCAAAGCGAAAGCGATATTTACAGTTAAAAAAATGTTGAGGTCGGAACAGAAAAAGTGGTTTAACTTACCTGTAAACGTGGTCCTCTTCACCAGTAGGTTGGGTTGGGCTACTGTTTTCTTGAGACCAAGGACTCCTTTGAGTTGAACTCAAAGACTGAGCAAATTTGCAGAAGATTATTTAAAAATCAATTTGATTTTCCAAAAAATACAATACATAATAAAATATTATAAAAGTCTGTCTTTACCTCAGTTTCATCAAGTCCGTTCAGACCTTGTTCCGTGGGAGTGGGCGGGATCTGTGGTGGAGAGCAGATGTCTGGCTGGGTCTGACCCCCAGCAGGGATGGAGTAGGCGTCTTCGTCAGACAGGAAGAGAGGGCGCTTGGAAATGTGGGATGTCGTGGACTCAAGGTCCGCCAACAGAGCATCTATGGAAGAGTAAGAGTTCATGTTAAACTGTTGGTTGATTATAAATACAACAATGGATAACATGGGTGACATGACCCAAGCATCGGAAACAATGACAAAGAAACAGACCAGATTTTGTTCTACTATTATTACCAAGAAAGTACATGGTGACATACAGGGTTAAAACATAAATGTGACAATGGTGTCATGTAATCTGATTATAACAGGGTAGATGTGAAATAATTATGATTAATTAACAACTAATTTAACAAAATAATAATGCATTGATTTTACGTGCCAGAATGTATACCAATGTGTGCTTTGTAATTTAATAACAGTTGATTGTCAATAAGGACGGAAAATGGAAAGTTTTTTGGGCTCATTTGGCTGCTGATGCAGATATTATGAAATGGGAGGGATGAGTCAGATCAGAAAATGTGAATTTAAAGAGACGTAATACTCTTGAGAAAGCTCTTAAGACATGAGCTCAACTGCACTGAGTTGATGATGAAAAGACATGTCTACAGAGTTCCAGATAATGTAGAGCAATGACAACGAAATGTGGATGTGATAAGTTTATGAGCAAATATCATAACAAGTGCATTGAATAACTGATACTTTACCACTGCCGACAGATTGACGAGCTAACATATTCACTAGTGTTTTTGTCCAAATACTGAAGATGTGTAAGTTGACCACATAATGCATAAGAATGTTGACTAACTCTGTCAGATTGCATCTAGGGAGGGTTGTTTGTGTCAGGTTTTGCTGGGTAACACTGGTATTGCAGTTCATTTAACCTTTCAAGGAGTGTTAATAAATAAAGATTGAAGAAGATGTCCATTTTCTACATGTAGTCTATATAAATAAACAAGGCCATTTGAGATTGCATTACATGGTAACTTTTAGGGCACGGACACACCTATATACATATCCCCACAACAACTGTAGCAACTTTGTTAACACTTATAACTCATGCGCGCTGACGTCAGAAATGTGGTAATAATGTGATTCATGCTGATTGCCTCAGCCACTCCTTTAGTTACTTATTGACCTCTGTCTGCCCACAACTTTAATCCGAGAGACATGTCATGTCTGCTACCAGGTGAACATACTCCATTTACTACTGTCCATACCAACAGCTGCTGACTGTGTGTGTGATATTTTAGGAAGGACGTGTTTAAAGAAACAACAACAAGCTTTACGGTCCTAACCAGTATGTAGCTAAACACACAACCTAACTCGACTATTACAATACGACTGCATGAAAGAGCTTATTACACAACTGCTGGACTTACTGTTACTCTTTGAAATATTCACTAAAACAAGGTACATTCCTTTAAAAGTATTTTTATTTTTCTATTGTTAGCAGTTTGCGACATACAACAAGACAAGGTTTGCAAAGGAAAACAGTACTGTTTCCACACAAAAATTAGTTCTTATCAACTCTCTCAAATGTTCAAACAGTAATCACTGCACTTAACCTTTATCCTGAAATAACCCACTGAGTCAAGAAAGATGAGACCAAAGTTAAAAAAGAATGACATGGAGAAGATGAGACATACCTTTTTAAAGAACAGTCACACACAGGGAAATGTAAGGCAGATGAAGAAAAAATAAGTTGAAGTAGAGGAAAAGTTCAACCCAAACACAGTGTCTGCCAGGCAGGAACTGCCTTTCTTAACTTTACCATCTATGTATGAGAACAAGAGATGAGCAACGTAGTGGTCCCCCCCCCCCACACACACACACTCCACAACTGATATGCTGGGTCCAACCAAGCAGCCTGGCAAATTAAGAGACTACTCACGCAAACAGATGATCCACTAAAACAGCCAACGAGGACGGAGCTGTCCGACTCTGTGGAGGGTTTACTCTGTTGTGAAATGAGCAAAGTTGACAACGAGCGAAGAACTTATCAACACAGGCATGCTCAAAACTGAGGGAGTGGTATCCCAGGTACATAAAAGAGAATAATCCACCCTGTTCCACACAGTCGGCATAAACTTATGACTCACACACACACTTTTAACACACGGTTAAGAGACGTGTGGTGTAACTCTTGGTTACATCAGGTTGACAGATGATTGTCAGCAATCAAAAAGGAGCCTTTTTTAAAATAGGAGACCTAATACCAGGTTCATTTTATCCAGGGCACACTGCAAAATACACCAGGGTGTCATCGGTGCAGAGGTCAGACTGACTGCTGTGTTTTCCAGACAGACAGGAGACTGCAGAAGCAAAGATTAATACCAGCTCTACTTGGATCAAGTGAGCGTTTACATGGTGATCATGATTATCATGGCTCACATGCCTGTTGACTGGGTTTCACAGCAGAGGCTTTTTTCTGGAAGCAGAAGCCTGGGCACATTCCACAGTTTCATTATGGCCTCAATTCAACACCGTGTTTACACTACTGCAAACAGATCCGTTAGTGCCACAGTATCCCATATGGAAGCAAAGCACACGCCCAAAGGCACGAGGAGACACTGAGGATAACCAAAAAACATTTGTTGAGCAAAAAGGAAACTTTTAGTTGTTTCAAATCATCAAAGGGAGAAACTGAGAAAAAGAAATGTAACTTCCCCTCCCATCACTGTAGACGGTGCTGTGGTTGCAATTTCAATGCACAGGTTGAGTGTACAACATTTTAACACAATATCAAATAACAGATTTGATGATGTATATTAATATCAATACAGGCACATGTGACGCAGAGGTCAGTCATAAACCTGAAGTGATAATACTGGCTCTCTGACTAAATATAGCACAAGAACTACTGTCTGTCAGCTGGTGACTAAAAATGTCCACAAAAAGATGCCTCTTTTCAAAACATAAACTACTCATTTACCCTCTGTGCCTCTGAGGCTTTTGTACTGCATCTTATAAGTACCTATACTGAAGATTTCTTTGTGACATTCAAAAATATACATTTAAATTATTGTAACTGTGAAAGTTCTAAAAGTGCCACATCTCAGATTAAGGACTAAATAATTGCAAATAAATGCAGCACTTAGACTGTAAAATATGTGATTAACCAAGAACAGTCCAGTAGCACCGTGGCTAAACTGTTGCAGATAATTATAATCTTTAAAAAAAAAACTGCATAAATTCAACTGTACAAGTCAGTGAATGGCTGCTACTGTTGTCAAGACAAAGTTTTACTGCAGTGGATGGAGACCTCAGTCAGCAGATGTTGCTCCAGATGGTTTACACAGGAGATGTTAATCAAGTTGAACTGGCCTTCACCCT